TCTTCAGAAGGGAAGAGGATAGGATTACTGACATATATGAGACAGCTACTGTACTAGTTTCTGTTTTCATTTATTCAAAGTATTCATAAGCTACCTTTTGAGGTCAAGTAGTGTACAAAAGAATGTATGAGACATGTCATAGTGGTATACATTATTATAAGAAGGCTTGTCTGAATTACATGAGCCCAGGGTAGGGAACCCTTTTTATTTCAAGGGCTGCATTCTCACAGGGTAATCTGTTGGGGGCCACATACAAGCAGTACGTAGGGCCAGAGGCAAACTGTGGGTGGAGTCAGAGGTGAGTAGCATTTGTAGAACTATAGGATTGCTTGTTCTCGCTCTCTGCCATCACATGTTTTCTTATGGGCTTGCTGCCCATAAGACAAGCCCTCTCTCTCTCTCTCTCTCTCTCTCTCTCTCTCTCTCACACACACACACACACACACACACCACAGAAGAGGGATCCAGCAAGGGAAGATGGGCTTAATTATGGGCTGAGTGAGAGTCAACTGACTCAGAAGGTATCAGTGGGATCTGTTGCCTGGCAACTACCAACATGGCATGGAAAGACTTGCCTTCACTGAGTGAGATCCAGCTGCTCAGTCCCACTCTCCTGAGGAGAAATGTCAACAGTAGCTCTGATGCCTAGTAGGCTGAGGCCAAATGGAAACATCACGGAAAACCATGGATATGAGCAAGAAATGCCACCAGTATAATCCTTACACCCTACAGAAATCATGTTAATTTTGTTACTGGGGTGGACAAATCTGTCAGTTTCGGTTTCTCTCAGTTTCTCATTTTTCAATAGACAGTTTCATTCATTTGTTCATTTTTCTGACCATAAGTTCAGTTCTCTGGATTTCTAGATCTGTTTGCATTTTTTTTAAAGTCCCAATGAAAATTCGTCAGCATTTTAGTGAATTTTTCCTAATATACAGGTTTTGAACCTAATTTTGCCTATCATGGACATTTTTGCAAAGCAATTTCTTTTACAGTGCATTTTTGTATGTTGTTTCATATGCATTTTATTCATGCTTCATCCCAATATTTGCAGTTTTGTACACATTTGTCGGCTGGACAACTGTGTTGCAAAATTCAGAGAAGTGGCCATTGCAAAGGGTGGCTATAATTTGGTCTGCATATTGCTTCAGAAAGTGTGAATTAGATAGAATCACCCGTGAACTGAATCAAATTTCCCCCTAACACTACTGACAACAGACCTGAATGTGATTTTCATTGTGATAACATTTTGTGAGCTGCCTTGAGAGCTTCTGTGTGTGACAAATCTGTATATTCTTATCAGTATAAATAGATAAGAAGTAGTGATTCCCAATCTGCAGAGCACGAGTGGGCCCACAGCCATGCCTCAGGTCCATTGCCACTGACACAGAGAAGGCCTTCTGTGGTATAGAAAGAATAATTTTACCAGGCGCAACGTCTCCCACCACTGTATTAGGACAGGCAAAGAGGTACCCAGTAAAATCTGCTAGACAACCATTAGAAGACATCTGAATGCAGCCCTGTTTAGGGAAGCTTTTAATGTTTGATGCATTACTGTATTTTAATATTTTGTTGGAAGCCGCCCAGAGTGGCTGGGGAAGCCCAGCCAGATAGGCAGGGAATGAATGAATGAATGAATAAATGGCACAATAGTCCTGCTCTGTTTGATATCTGACCTTCACAAAGAAGGACATATGGGGAATCTCTGTGTGTCTGGTTTCTTCACTATACAGCTTTTAGCAAAAGCTGAAGACAGAACCCTTTGACCGGGCCTTTGACCCCTCAGATGTGCGCTTCCAGGGCCCACCCTATTCCTGTAATTTGACTACTTTTGACTAATCTGTTTTGACTACTTTTCATTTGCAATTGTTGTAATAAATGGCAGCAGCAGCACCTGTGATGTGGATCTTCTTTTGCTTCCTTCAGCATTGGATTTTCTACTGCTCTGAAGGAGGAGAGGAGCAACCTCCTCCCTTCAGCATCATGAAGAGTAGGAGAGGCTCTCCCATGGCCCTTGTGCAAGTATTTTGCCCTAACACACTAAGGAATGAGAGAAGATTGTTTTGACGCGCAGCAGACCACATACTAAGCGGATAACATGACCAGACAATTGAAACAATACACAGAGGACTCTTAATTGACACATGAGGATTAGTTAGTTAAAACCTGTGGTGATTCCAATTGTCCAGTCACATTATCCACTTTAAAGACCGTTTATCTTGTAGGGCTACTTTAGTATTGCTTTTCAGAGAGGAATTTCCAGCTGCAAATGTTCACTGCTTTTAGCATTTAATCCATACACCTCTTTCAGCTACTTTAATTGGAACATATAGTGTTTTGTCCATCAGCTACTGAAGGAAATTTGTGTTTGAACATGCACTTTACTAATTTAACCACAATAATTTCCATAGGAATTATGCTTAGCTTGGTAGATCTGTCATTTTGTCAGCAGGAGTTGAGGAATTTAATTCCTGGGCTAAATGATGCCTGCTTCAAGATGGACAGCTCCTAAAACTATTCATTTGTTATCTTTCTCTGTGTGCTACACATGAAATTGCAATTGACTCTCCGCACTGCTGGGGGTATTGCACTTTCTGCATGTGAACATCCTCTTATGTTCCATCTATCCTAGAGATGTCAAATCACCATGTGAATGGGGAAGGGGAAGTTACAATTCACCTCCTAAGCAACATATATTCTTTTTTCCCTTCTTTTTTCCCTTCAAGCATCTGTCTGGGTTTCTCCAATATGGCTCTGCTTGGGATGTGTGCTTACGGCTGCAGCCTTTTCTCAATGACTAACTAGCACAGCAAGCTGAATCAAACTGCTTCTTCAAAATGCTATTTTGGCTTAACAATGGTATAAGGTGCTCTGAGTCTACTGGGAGGAGATGAGGTTAGGGGAAGTATAGAAATTCAAATGAAGTTCAGCACAAATTTCAGAGGGGCTTAAATTGCCCAGGAAAGGTCCCTGGGATCTGAACAACTTTGCCCAGGCCAGTTGGTCCCTCCCAACCACTCTGTATACGACTCCTTTATTGGACTGGACTTTGCTCGTTCACTTAAAAAAATACTGTAGTTATGCTGTTGTGCAAGAGGAAAGAGCTCTTTAAGAGCTCTATAAGAACTGTGCACTTAACTGTACAAACAAATGTCTGTGAAGGCCCTAAATCTTGTTTTGTTTTTGGCATCAGTTTCTGAATATGACTTGAAGGAATGCAAATATTAAAACAGTTGCATTGGGGGGGGGGTTAAAAGTGATTGGGACAGTCCAATGGGCAGAGAAAGAAGCAGATTTCAGAATGAGAGGAAGAATTTTTTTAACTTAAAAAAATAAATGGGAAGGAACACAATTCTTTACACCACAGGCTCTTGAAGTAAAATGCCAGCAGAGAAGTGTCTCTTGGCTACCTCCCTAATCCAAAGCTTGTGTGGTGCTGGACTAGGAGTCAGAACAGTAATCTACCCTCTTCCAATTGGTACAAACCACACCTGCCTCACTCGGCTTCAGCTGGGGAGGGCGGGATATAAATAACAATTTATTATTATTATTATTATTATTATTATTATTATTATTATTAATTATTATTAATTCTGTGCCTCTTTTGCAGGCCAGTGGTGAATAACCCTTTCCCCGACATACAGGTTTTTAGATTCCCTAAAGGTCCATCTTTCAAAAACATTAATACACATTGCTGGTGTATATGGGACCAATAATTCCTCTCTTTCTTTCCTTTGGGGTCACTTGCTTTCACAGGTTAAGGGCAAAAGTGAGCATTGTCCCACTCTGTTGATTTCCATCATGCAGCTATGAGGAAGCTTAATGGATTGATGTCCCAATGAGGGATGTCCCACTGAGAGAGCTCTTGTCCAGAGTGCTGCAATAAGGGTGTTTTTGCTGACTCATCAACAGAGGGGAAGGAATGAAGAACATAAACATTTCTAGGCCTTGTTATTGAGGCAGACCACCTCTCTTTGGCCTGCCATGAGCTAAAGCAGATGTGCATCACTATAGGTAACACAGAGCCCTCAGGACACTTCCAAACCCCTCTCTCCAGTTACACACTCCTTGAGGTTTTCTGCCTGGTTGCAAATGTGTCCTTGAGGTATGATAATGACTCTTGCTTGTCTGGATGGAGGGCAAAGAGGGGCAGGTGAGTGTGTACAGTAGCATCCATCAGGGCTGCATGGGTGCCTTGCTCTCCTGACTTCCCTATGCCATGCATTGCTGCAGGTTACCAAGAGGTGAAGGGGGAAGTCAGCGGGGATCTCCGCACGGTGCAACACGGCATCGGATTGACTCTGCTGCTGCACCGCACCGTGCCAGGCTCCCTTTATCTTCTTGGTAACCGGCAGCAACATGTGGCGTTGGTAAGTCAAGAAAGGCATGCAGCTCCACCTGTCAGCCACTACTGTGTGTGTGTAGAAACTAGCCTGCTGTACAAAGGCACACATTTGCATTAATTGCTCTGCTGACTATTATCTCCCTCTGGCCCTTCCCATCACTGGCCAGCAGCTCCCGGAGGTTTGCTCAAAAACAAATTCTGCCTGTAGACTGAAAAAGGTCCTGCATTCCTGGGACAGAAGGAGAGACAAATATGGAGATCTGGAGGGAGCTGCTTATTGTTGGTTCCCCCTGGGGATTTCCTGGGTTTGGGAAAGCCTTGAGCAAAATGCCCTCATGTGTGTGTTGGCCGGGGAGGGAGGTACTGTTGTAGTTGCCCATTCTCCTTCGTCTCATCTAGTTGTGAGAGCCTCATAGAAAAAGGCTAAACTTTTGGTGGCTGAGGGAGCCAAAGAGCAGTTTTGCTTTGTTTTTAAAGTCAGATAAATAGATTAAAGAGCTGTTGTTGTTTCAAAAACCGCTGTGAGAAGGGATGAAAGATTGTAAAGTGGGAGGGAAGATTGTGACTCATGGGAAAAGGGAACCAGCTCTGCCTCGCAGAAAATGAAAGTTTCCTTTCAGAGAAAAGAGCTGTCATATGACATCTGTATTTGAGCAAAGAAATGAGGAAGTGCAAGGAGCACTGAGAGGCTCTGGAGTAGAAAGAGGATCCCTGGGAAGAAAGACTCGGAGGAAAAGACACGGGCAAGAAAGGGAGAGGCCGAGAGAATAGGCAGGTAGCCAGGCTGATAAAGAACTCAGATCCCAAGGCAGGGCTTGCATGGCCTCGCTGGGGGCCCGAGAGGAGCGGAAGCCCCTCATAAGGCAGGAGGAGGCCCCTGACAGGCCTGCCACATCTCCCTTTGAGGGCAGGAAGACTGCCTGTGCTGCTGTGCTGCTGGTGGAGATTCTGGAGCGAACCGCTTTTTTTGGCATTGTCTCCAACCTCGTCCTGTACCTCAACAGCAGCAACTTCAACTGGGGCGGCGCCCAGTCTTCGCGTGCGGCGTTGCTCTTCTTGGGGGCCTCCTACCTGTTTTCGCCCATTGGGGGCTGGCTTGCGGATGCTTACCTGGGCCGCTACTGGACCATTGCATTCAGCTTCCTGCTCTACTTGCTGTCAGCCTGCCTCCTGCCAGCCGTGGCCTCGCAAGATAGTCGGATCTGGCTGTGCGGGGAGATGCCAACTTACCCAGTACAACCCGCCTGCAAAAATGGTAGTACGGACTGCAACCAGCAATTGCCAAGTCAATATTGTGCCCCTGTTATGTACAGTGGTCTACTGCTCCTGGCCCTGAGCATCAGCTCTGTCAAAGCCAACCTCACACCATTTGGCGCTGACCAGGTAAGAAGAGATCTGAGCTCACATCTATCCTTCCTATTTAAACAAGAAGGATACTGGTGCACTTTGCTCCTTGTTTCATGGGCTCCTTCTGTCTTCAATATACGTTGTTTGAGTAAACACAATACCTCTGAAATACATTCGAAATGGTTTGGGTTTTTTCCTTTTAAAGAATTCTGGGCACTTTGATTTATTAAAGGTTTCTGGGAATTGTAAATCTATGAGGGGGAAACCAGAGGGCCCAGAATTCTTTGAGGGAAATCATGTATTTTGGATGTGCTTTAAAGGCAAAGTATATATGCAGCCTTTGGCTCATTGTCTCCTGACTTGTTGAAAGCAGAATGCATTATTTGTGTTTGTTTTTGCATACTACCTTATATCCTGATTTTCAGTACAGATTTTCAGCAATAGCAATATAAGAAAACACATCATAAACCTAAGTGAATTAAATAAAAAATAGAAAAGGCCTCCAGAAATTTAAAAGTTTTTACCTGCGGCTGAAAAGATAACACGCTCAGTGTTAAGCGAACCTCTTTGGGGAGGGACTTCTAAAGTAGGGGCCCTGACTAAAGCATCTTTTTCAGTATGGAGGCTTTTCTTCTTCTTCAGTAGTTTTTCAATTAAATGTAGCTTTTGTCTTCCTATGTGTTATTTGCTGAAAAAGACAATAAAAGAGTTTTCGTTTTTAAAAGTAGAATTATTGTTATCATCATCATCATCATCAATAATACTAACAACCATCCACCCTTCACCCTAAGATCCCAGGGTGGGTTAAAACAATTAAAACACAATGTTAAAAACAACTTGAAACAACTTGCAATCACAGAAATAAAGCAGGTCTTCAAAATAAACATCTAAGCTGTGAAAAGGCAGGGTAAAAAGTCCATCTTCAGGATTCAGCAAAAGCTGTGTAATGAAGAGGCCTCCTCCATGATAAGGGAATTCCTTCTCCCGGGTCTCCAACCCCCTCCCCAAAAAAAACCTCTGAGGTAAAGAGTTCTTTCAGGTATTTGGGGGCCCAGATCGTTTAGGGGTTTAGCATGAGAAGAGTTTCTGATGTCTGTACCAATAGGGTCAGTACTTCTGCCATGCTCAGTTTCCACCCAGAACACCATTAAAACCAAACAAACATGTGTAAAAGCATCTGCAGCCAGGGGTCTTTCAAATTTGTAGGAGATTAGGCAACTTCCGACTGAGCTCCTTACAAAGAACGAGGAAGAGCAGTTTCTCCTTCCCCCCGAGAGCAAATTGAATTTCCCTTATCCTGGTCCTAGAATGGAGCTACTTGTCTGCTTGTGGCAGAACTAGAGCTAAACCGGATTATTCTCCCCAAGTTCTCCATGCTATTTGTGGGTTGCAACATTGGGGGATGGGGGCAATTTTACCAAATATTCTTGGTGGATTTATTTATTTGTTTTATGACCTGCTTCCCAGCGTTGGATATTGGTGGGTGAAGGAAGCAGTGGGCTAAGAGAGGACTGGAAGGAGTAGGGACCAAGCCCATTGCTTCCTTCAACTATATTAAGCAACACTATTTTATTGTTTAACAAAATAGTAGTTCAGTGGCAGAGCATCTGCTCTGCATGCAGACGGTTACAAGTTCAATCCTTGGTATCTGGTAGGACTGGGAGAGACCTTTAATGCTAGAGAGGCACTGCCAACTGGTGTAGAGACAATACTGAGCTAGATGGACAAGTGGCCTGACTTGGTATCGGCCAGCTTGCTGTGTTCTTATTAAAGCTAGCTCCACAGTTGTGCCAACATTTAATGGATAACAAAATTCAGGAGGCCATTTTGGTAAATATCCTCCAGAATGCAGCTAAAATCCCCCAACAGAACACAAAAAGAGCTTGCTGGATCAGGCCACTGACCCATTTTAGTCCAGCATCCTGTTCTCACAGTAGCCAACCAACAAGCAAGACTGGAACACAACAGCACTTTCCCGTCCTGCGGTTTCCAGCAATTGTATTCAAAAACATGACTGCCTTGAACTGTGGAGGCAGAGCAACGCCATCACAAACCCTCCAAGTGCCTCTGTTTTCCAGGGACGCCCCTGATTTAGAGAAGCTGTCCTTGATTCTGATTTGATCCCAGATTGTCCCACTTTTCCTTAGGATATGCCTATTTTCATTGGAGAAATATTGGCGGGTATGGAGTTATCTGACCTCTGAGCCGTCTGAAGGCAATCCTGTATAGGGAAGGTTTCTTTTAATGTTGGCATTTTATTATGTTTTTATATGTGTTGGGAGCTGCCCAGAGCGGCTGGGGCAACCCGGTAAGATGTGTGTGGGGTATAAATAATAAAATTATCATGGAATGGGACATCCCTATTTTCATCGGAGAAATGTTGGAGCGTTTGGCATCATGGCTGGTAGCCTTTGATAGCTCTTTCCTCCATGAAAACAAAAGGGCCAAGCTTCAAAAGGAGTTTGAAAAATAGAAACCATGTAAGAAATTTATTTTCTGAATAAATCTGGCTTGGTAGACGGACCAGTAGAATGGCTTTGGTGTCCCCCACCCCCCGCAAAAAAATCTAGGAGACGTTCAGTGTAGCTCCTGCAGTACTGATTGCCCCACCTTGTCCAGAACATTCCAGATTAACCTTTCATCACCTCTCCTTTTTAGATTGCGTCTTCACAGTTACTTGGTAGCTCCAAAGCCAGCGCCCTCAAAATGCTTAAACTCCCACCCACCATCCAGTTTTTGTGCATCTTCATTAAAGCTGTCTTACCCACCCACTTCCCCATAATTGTTCACAAGCCAAGAAGAAGCCATTGCCTCCCTTGCAGTGGATAAGTCTTCTCCTCACCAGGGTTTGGTGTGTCAGGATACAGTTGCCTCTGTCAAACTCGACCTCAGGGCCCCCTTGGTTTGCACCTCATTCAAATATCTTTTGTGGTATCCCACAAAAGAGTTTTCCATGTGTGCACATCAGCCTTGCAAATAAGACCACAACAGTTATCAACCCCTATAAATGTTTACTAGTGCTAGTCCACTTATACTTGGACGGAAAGGACCCATTGTCTTTCAGGTTTTAAATATATCCCTTGTCGGTCACATGGAGACAATTCTTACAGGGATAAGTCACACACAAGCAACTTGTCTAGCAGAACATGGTCTCACTCCCCTGTACTTTAAAAAATTTGAAGGTGACGGACCGTGGCCGGGATGCTACCCGACGTTTCTTCAACTGGTTCTACTGGAGCATTAATATTGGGGCTGTGATCTCTCTGCTGGTGATTGCCTTCATCCAGCAGAATGTGGACTTCCTTATTGGCTACGCCATCCCTGCTGGCTGCCTGGCCCTGGCCATCATCATCTTCCTCCTGGCTGCCCCCACCTTTGTCACAAAGCCTGCGGCTGGCAGTCAAGTCTACCCCATGTTCCAGTTGGCCTTCCAGAAAAGCTGCTGTGGCCAAGCAATCCAGAAGATGACCACCAAAACCAGGTAAAGCAGAAAATATCTCTTTCGGCTGGCCAAGGCCATTTACCGTATGGGACTTTCCTCTGAACAGTGCTGGATATGCGCTTTGGGCTGGCATGAGCACCACTCAAAAAGCATGTGTGTAGCAGTTGGTTTAAAAAACAAAACAAAACTTCTTTAGATCAGTCAGAAAGGGTTAAGCATTACCTTCTGGCAAGGAGTTACCCTTTACTTAGACGGCATTAACACAGTGCAGGTGTACAGATGCAGCAAATGAGATGGCAGAATCTTGAGGGAATTATGGACTTTACCACTTTAGGATGCAAGTAGGGGGTGGTATTAAAAAAAACAGGGTCCACCAGATAAAATGGTTCTTGTTTGGTCTGTTCTCTCTGATGTTAGCTTTCTACTTTCAGAGAGTTTCTTAAACACACACACACACAATAATTTTTTTAAAATGGCATCCCCTGCTACAGTCTGAAGTAATACAGCCTATTTGACCTCTTCATTCTGCTGCATTTTCAGACAAGGCCACATAAACTTATCCAAAGGGAATAGCTTCTTAATTAATTTAATATTCTATTTTTTCTATAATCTAGTGGAAAAAGGCACAGTGAAAATGTGACTAGCGAAGTTGAGCCCTGGAATCATTGGGAGCTCTCATATTATTTGGTTGGCCCACTTGTGTTGTGTGGAAAGGGACCGTATAAAAAGACCCCTCAAGAAGGGCGGAAAGTATCTCCCAGTTACAGTAGGTGAAGCAATGCATGCTTCTCACTCACCAAGTGCACTGGAATCTGCCAGATAAGATACTGAGTCAGACCATTAGTCCTTTGAGAGCAAGGGTGGGGCATCTTTGGTTCTCCAGATGGTGTTGGAGTTCCCATTATTCCTTACTACAGACCGTTTCTGAAGGGTCTGATGGGAGCTGTGGTCCAACAACACCTGGAGGGCCACAGGGTTCCCCATTCATGGACTAGCGCAATATTGTTTGCATTGACTGGCAGCAGGTTTGCCAAGGTTTTGGATGGGTTTTTCTTTGCCCTGCCTAAAAATGTCAGGAATTGAACCTGGAACCTTCTTCATCCAAAGCATATGGTTCACCACCCACAGAACTCTCCTTACAGCAAAGATGGAAAACCTGTGGTCCTCCAGATGTTGTTGAACTACAGTCCTTGACCATAGGCCGTGCTGGCTGTGGCTGATGGGAGTTGTGGCTCTCTATGTTATCTGATGCCACGTTTCCTATCCCTTACAGCAGGGCAGGAGAAGAAACAATTCTCACTCTACTTCCAACCCATAGGAATGCACTCTCAGGGCCAAGGCTCAAAGGGGCTGTGGTCTTTGTGGGAAATAGATGGGTACTTTGTCCACCTTTGAACAGGTTGTTGAGTTCCGGGGAATGTCACTTCAGGCTCTGTAATAACAGTCTTGATTCCTATAAATGAAGTGAAACTGCTATTTGGGGATAAGAAGCCCACATGAACTCATCTGAAGCCTGGAGTGTGACCCTGGTCATGTTATAAAAGCCCTGATACACTTTTGCTGTTCCTTTTATCTACAGAACACATAGTAACCAGTCAGAAGCCGAGGCTAATGGCTCACTTTCAGGTCCAAGAACCCAGCCTGTGGGGATGTCACATGAGCATATTGCCAACTTCCAAGTGATCATGAAGATCCTACCTGTGTTGCTCACTCTCATCCCGTACTGGATGGTCTATTTCCAGGTAGGGCATGGCACCATTTCCCAATTCTGGTCTGAAGCCCTGATCCGTTTAGTGCTGTGGCCCTCTGGATGTTGCTGAACTGCATCTCGCAGCATCCCTGACCTGGGCTGATGGGAGTTGGAGTCCCAAAACATTTGGAGGGTTACAGCTTCCCCATACAGCGGCTGAAGTTAGAAGGAGCGGAGGGTTAAAGGATGTCCTTTCATTGCCAAAATGTTCTTAAACCATGTGTGACTTCATACTTTCATAATAATAGCACATAATAGTAATAGTGTGGTACAGGGACTCTCTCCATTTAGTCACTCTGCACTAAGCATGAAGCTTGGTCTTTGGCCTACATAAGCTCTGCCCCATCCTTAGCAGGGAAGCAAATTCAACTAGGATTGCAACCTGCTATGCATTCATGTGGGCCCAAGCCCAAACTTAGTTCCAAGCAAACTTGCATAGGGTGATCAGACTGCAAGGTTCCTAGCAGGGCTAGATTTGGACCTTTAGAGGCCCTAAGCACTTAAAGGATTTTGGTTCCGCCTTCTATATCTAATTCAAAATATAAACAATAAAAAACCATAAAATAAAATTTATTTTTTGAAATGAAATGAAAGATGGGAAATAACGTTTAGTTTTATATATTTGTATAAATAATGTTTGTGTTTGTTCAGCTGTACCATATGGTCCATGGTAAATCTGGCAATGGGAAATTTCTGTGGTGCCCCCCCCCCCCGGTGTCCTAAGGAGGGGCTATAGAAAAAACAGGGTGCCTGCCCGTTTCATTTCCCCCTTGGTTCCTGTTGGCTTTTACAGCACAGCTGTAATGTTGACAAGCAGTTACTATAAAGTGAAATGAAATGCACATTAAAAGCAAAGCTATGGAAGCAGAGGTGTTTCTATTCCCGTACATTTTTTCCAACAAGGTCATAAATCCTTGTTTGTAGGTGAGTGGGTTGCCAGGGAAATGTGAAACCATTTATCCCAAAGAGATATTTGTGAGGGGAAAGGAGCAAGCGTGGCGGCAACAATAAAACAGATTATTCTAAATGTTAAAAATTGCTTAGGAGGCTGTCTGTTTTGATACAAGCTCATGGTGTTTCCATACAACATGGTTTCGCTTATCCACTCTGAGGTACTATGGCACTAAGTCAACTGTTGAGAGAGGTATTCCTTCTCCAAGGCACCAGGCATCTCAGCAGGGATAGGAAACTTCCAGCTGTTGCTGGACTCCATTTGCTATCACCCCTGACTGTTGGCTATGCTGGGTGGGTTTAATGGGAGTTGGAATCCAACAACAGAGGGCTACAGGTTACCTCCCCCTAGCATTCTTTTTAATGAATCCATTTAATAATATGCCTTTTAACTGATTAACCAATTCATGATTAAAATCAGAGTTGTGCCAAAATGGGACGAGGATACACATTGCACAGAATACACAGCCTCTTATGTAATCAAACACACCCAGACACACTTTCACTGATCGCTGGGGATAGGTCTGCAAAACAGTGGGGAAATGGTACCGGTACCTCATTCTGAGTAAAAGTAGGTGCCCTTGCTGTGGTTGGCTTTGTGATGTCATCATGTAGCTAAATCTGATTGGCCAACTACAAGGCAACCCATCCCTGAGGTGCTCAGATAATGAATGTCACTGTTCTTGCAGCATCTGCCCTGCAGATGGCTGGGAAACCAATGTGTATTGAAGACCCATGGATGGGTATGGGCACATCAAAGCCCTGTGCATCTGCTTATTTATAAGGACTTTCAAAGTTTGTTGGTTTGTGTAGGCATGTGCTACATTTACATCCCTGACTTTGCTCTATGACGGAACTCACGGTGGCATACAAGCCTTCTCCCCAGATGTTCTTCCCATCCAAGCACTGACCAGACCCAGGCCTGTAACATGGTGCCTGGAGGAGTTTCTCTGGGTGACTCCTGGGGGCCAGGGCATTTTGGGGCTCCCCAGTGGTTTTTTTGAGGGGGGTGGGACCCTCAATTCTCAGAGGGCCATGCACATGACATCAGGACATCGCCTTGGGCCCCCTCAAATATCTGGAGAAGCTGGCTCCTCTGCCTGCAAAGCTTCAACTAAGTGGTTGCATAATGGGACTCAGACCAGAACTTGGGCCCTACGTTCCTGTTTTCCATTCTTTATTAGTGTTTCAGGGCTGCAACATATCCTTTGCTTGCAATGGATGAATAAGAGTTTATTGCAGATTCAACTAAGTTGTTTGGGGGTTGGTTTGTTTTTTGCAATTGTGACTCCATATATTACACAGGCTGACCCCACTCCTGTGTTTTTGTTTCCCTTACTGAAACCCTCTTCTGGTCTCAAGAGACATTTCTTCATGATTCTGGCTGCTTTATAGGACAGAAGTTAGGGGGTTTTGTACCATGCACAGGATTTGGGTGATAATTTCTACTTTTGTAGCAGAGGCAGCTGAATATGCAAATGCAGTCAGATCTGCATATCTAGCCACCAGGGAGAGAACACATTAAATGTTTCTTATTGGCATTTAATATGATCAGGGATTTAAACAGCTCTGGCTGGCTTTATTAGATGCATTATTTGTGAGTTTCAGGGAGACTTGTTATCACTGACAATGATTTATGAGTTCCTGAATTTTACAACAGATTCACCTGTTTGTAAAGTTGGTGCAAAATTGTTTCCTTATTTCTTCACATCAAGGAATAACACAAGAATAGTTGTCTGTATGTGGTGGGCATTGCCAATGACGTCCAGACATTTGATCACCACAGAGCTTATACCAGTGGTTCCCAAACTTTTTTGGTTCTATAAACTCATTCCCAGTGCTGCTTACTTTACCTTAGGAGAAGTTTTATTAGTACTTTGCATGCCCCACTAAGGTAGATAATAACACAATAAAATTCAAAGCAGTAACAATTATTTGCACATTTATTAAAAATCCAGTTGAAACTATTTAGTTTAGTTAATTCAATGAAATTGATTGGCTTGATCCAGATATACCAGCTGCTCAAAATCTGATTGTCATTTACACTTCCAGTGCTTCCCTGCTGCTCCCTTGCCTCTTAACACCCCCCAAGTAATTCCCCCCTTTGGGAACCACTGGCTTAGACCTTGACAGTCAGCTGGGTTGGGGTCAATCAAAGACTCGTGATCTTTCTAGCTGAGCATATATATCTTTAATGGCATTCCTCTTGTCTCGCGTTTTAGATGCAGTCAACCTACTACCTGCAGGGTCTGCACCTCTACATCCCCAACATCTTTCAGAAGAGTCAGCAGAACAACAGTGCTTTCTCAGTGGCTGCAGATGGTCACTACACGGTAGGCCATGAGAAACATTGCTGTGTGGTTTCGTTAGACCTTGAGAAGATGGTGTAAGACTGTCCAGCCCAGACGACAGAGCTTGTGCCAAGCTCTGTGCTATATGAAGGGGATGAGCTGTGGTGACTTGGATCACATTGTGACAAATGTGGCACCCATCACAACAAATGTCTCTTTTAAGTGGAGGAGATATGGGTGCTCAACAGCTCCAATAAAGAGGCTTAGCCTGTGGTGAATGTGTTAAGGAACAACAGGGCTTCTTCAGGGAAGGGACATAAAGCAACAGCCTGGTTCTGCCCAGAGCAACATTCCTCCTCCTCTGCAACAGTCCAGGCACAACCCCTGTTTTTATAGGCAGAATAGCTGCTGACAAGCTGCATGTGACTCTAGCAATGATAACAAGCCTCAGACACCACAAACAGAAGAGAAATTGTTCCACTTCCCCTCAGGCCCCAAACTGTGTTGTGCTAAGCTAAGGGGAGAGTTGAGATGGGAGTAAGGATGGGATGTATATGCAGGAGAGAATGAGGGATTTTGGGAAAAGAACTCAGGCATTCATGTTGGCTTTGGACTTCTTTCTTAAGGGAATGCCCTTCTATTTCATGAATAGGAAGCAGTCTCTTTTATTTGAAGGACTTAAACGGCATTGATTCCCCCCCCCCCATCCTTTCTGATATTGCTTGCCCATCTCCTCAGCTTGGTAGCTGTGGTGCTTTTATTACTGTTTCTCAACTTCATTCTGGGGAAAACATCCTCAGAATATGCAGCCATGATCCATATAGTGGTCTCTGGAAATTGCTGTTGAAAAAATGTATGTGTGGGTTCATTTCCTTCTTGCAGGGAGCCAACCATATGCAGAGATTGCCACGAACAGGACTGTGCTTTTTGCACACTCTGTAAAACACTCTATTCTGGGGAATATGATAAAAGCACGATCATGTAATTGGATTGCTTGTATACAACCAACCCATGATAATCAGGGGTGAGAAAGTACACTGTGATATTGGGCAGCCACTACATGTTTAAAAGGGACGCGGGTGGTGCTGTGCTCTAAACCACAGAGCCTAGAGCTTGCCGATCAGAAGGTCGGCGGTTTGAATCCCTGCTATCCTGCTATGGGGTGAGTTCCCGTTGCTTGGTCCCAGCTCCTGCCCACCTAGCAGTTCAAAAGCATGTCAAATTGCAAGTAGATAAATAGGTACCGCTCCAGCAGGAAGGTAAATGGCGTTTCCGTGCGCTGCTCTGGTTTGCCAGAAGTGGCTTAGTCATGCTGGCCACATGACCCGGAAGCTGTCTGCAGACAAACGCCTGCTCCCTTGGCCTATAGAGCAAGATGAGCACCGCAACCCCAGAGTCGTCCGTGACTGGACCCTAATGGTCAGGGGTACCTTTACCTTTACCTTACATGTTTTGAAGGTTGTACCAATTGGCCACAGCAGTTGGGGACAGTTGACACAACCAGACTAGTGCATTCAAAAATGTTAGTTGAGCAGAAGCAGTCCTGTGGTTCCTTCATCAGTTTGCAACTCAACCCACTTACCACAGCAGGGCAGCCATTCCTGGCACAGTAAATAAGGGTGGTATTGTGAGGGGTGAGCATTTGGGAGAAGCAATAACACCAGGTGTTGAAAGTGGTTGCTGAACTCTGCATGGACCCACTAACTGTGACAGTATGGTGGTGTGTATTGTCCCTTTGCAGCTCCATAGAATCCAAGCCTATTGCAGGACATCCCATCAAACAGGTGTTCCCACATCCACTAGCTCCATAGAAGTGTCAATGGTATCTGTAAGCAGAGCTTTATTTCAGCTGGAACTCACTGGCACTTAGTTCCAGCACCTCTCAAGTGGACACCATAGCCATTATAAGAGAATAAGAGAGGCATTCATGGTGAGTTCCTGCACCTCCTCTTCTAGAAAAAACAACACTGTCTGTAAATATATCTGAAGTGTGGTCTCTCTCTCTCTCTCTCTCTCCAGTTCCCAGATGCCTGGCTCCTTCTAGCTAATGTGGTGGTTCTGCTGGTCTTGGTCCCACTAAAGGACCGGGTCATAGACCCATTCCTGGCAAAGAGGAAGCTATTGCCTTCAGCACTGAAGAGGATGGCTCTTGGCATGTTCTTTGGGCTTGCCTCAGTTGTTGTTGCAGGTGAGTCATTCATTCATCTGTATCAATCCCAACTGCTTCCAGACAGGCAGGGCCGTAGCTAAGGGGTGGTGAGGAAGGCCCCTGTCAGGAGCGCAGGCAAGGGGGCGCGCACACAAAATTGGCTAAAAATATGTCCATAAATATGTCTATAAATTTAAAACATTGATTATTGCCTCATAAGAAAAGATTTTAAATAAAGGGTCTTTATATGATATGTGGGGCCCTGTTTTCCCCTATTTTTTTCTGTCCCACATTCATTTTTCTTTAAATTTCTGTGGCTAGGGGGCGCAATCTGGACAGTTCTGCCAGGGGCACAAGATCACCTAGCTATGGCTCTGCAGGCAGGTAGCTCCAGGGGTGGAGGAAGGAGGGTGCTGTAGTGGCGGACCGCCCCAGGTATCACCACTGAGGGGGGTGACAAAATGCCAGGTGCCACTCACCGCGAGGCCTGCAGCACGCCCAAGCCACGCATCTCTCCTGGGAGAGACGCAGTGGCTTGGGTGTGCTCAGGCTCCCACACTGCCCAAACGGTTTGCCCGCCGCCTCCCCCTCAGCTGTGGGACGGCTGAGTGGGAGGAGGCAGACAGACTCCTCGGAGGCCCCACAGAGTGTCCTGCCCCGGCTGGCCCCGCCCCATGGGCTGCTGGCCCCTCCCCTGGGTGCAGGGAATGCGCACCGCCCCAGGCGCCCGATTGGCTTGCTCCGCCGCTGGGTAGCTCCAAGTGCCACCCAATCATTGCTCTTCCATTGTATCTACCACTGCAATTGCAATGGACTTTATGTATCTCACTGTGTTCTGTCCTCATCAGTGGGCATGAGTTTTGTGAATGGAACCACTTGAAACTCAGAACACATTCACTATAACCCTTGTGGATGCCGTTATAACCCCATGTTACTTTATAAATTGATATTTTAATTATATCACTAAAACACCTATCCAAGTTTTATTAAGAACATTGAAAGAGATAACAGGGGTAATGCACCATACTGCTGTAATACTTCAGTAATGTTCTGACCCTACATTATAGTGTTATAATGCAAGATCTTTCTTTCCTGGTTTGTTTTTTTTAATGTTATCCCTGGAAACACATTTTAGTGTTAGTATGTTACTGCCCCACATCAAACCCCCCCTCTTTAAGAAAGATGGAAGAGCAGCACTAAACGCATCTGCACATGTAGAGATTGTGCTGCTTTCCCATTCTTCGGGGGGGGGGGGGAGCTGGGCATTCTGTGTTCTGAGGGAAGATGGAAGAATAACAGGAAAAATAGAGGAAGACAATAACGGGATGGCGATGCTTCCTGCAGAAAGTGATTGACTAATGCACAGCAATTCTAAAGTAAATGCCTCATAAGGGAAGCACTCCCCAGTTCCTATTCTTAGAGTAAAACCAGTTGAGCCCAAAGCATAAAAGATAATAGGTTTATCAGCCACCTTGCTCCAATAGAATCAGAAACAAGGCTTCAGGAATAAGGAATGCTATTTTATCAGTTCCAGGAATCAATTTGTATTTCATGAAATAGCATGCATTACAGTTGTCCTGTGATTATACTACTTCACAATGCAGATAGGGGATTGTAGGTTTCTGAATTCCTCTACCATGTAAACAACAACAACAACAACAAACAATAAAAACTCAGTTACCAGTACTTAAAAAATAGCACCCTGGGGAGAAAGCTAGGCTGTAACCCTGCATTGTGACATGTTATCCTTCCTTGGGAAGGGAACCTTTGTTACAAAGCGCATTCAGTCATGCCTTACACACACAAATACATACTACTCACTTACTACTAGAAGGACTACACAATCTGATTTTTTCTGAAGACCTGCCCTGAGCGTTGCAGTCCAGATGTCCAGGTTGCAATGCAAATGTCAGGATGCTTTAGCCAGTGCTGATTGCCCACTAGGCCTGGCAATCATCAGCACAGGCTGCTTAGTCCATATAGCTGCTTCCCTACAGTGTGCGCAGGGGTGCCCCAGGTCAAAGACGCCAATGTTTCCCTAGCACATTTTCTGCCTAATGAGCATTACTGTGGCCAGTTGGCATCATCAGGGCATGCTCACAATATATAGATATAGATTCATTCCAAACCCTGGCAAGGCTTTGTAGAGCAGTAGGTCCATCTTCCATGGCTGGAAGATGGAGAAGGGCAGGACAATTGCTGCATCAGCCCAGCACAAGAGGAGGGGAAATTAAATTGCTCTCCCCCTTGTTAGAAAGGCCCGACCCGGAGGCCAGTTGGAAATTCCTGCAGAAGCATCTAATGACCCAGTTCTGGACATTTGCAGCATCTGGGAAACTCCTCCAGAACTTCACGCTGTTGCTGACATTTAATGTCTTGACTGGGAGCGAGACTGTACTGTTTCCCTGGTTGTCTTATGTAAACCCAGTTTAGTCATGAGATGCCTGGCATGGTCTGAGGAGTCAGGAGCCAGGTTTGCCCTCACAATGAAAGGTCAATTAGGAACGCCTCCGTATAACTGAAACACCATGTATGTTCCATTCTTCCCTCATGTTAACGAGTTTGTGAGTGCCCGGCACCTATAATCCCTGGATCCAGGGTTCAGGAAACTTGATTAAAATATAAGCCAGGCTAGCTTCTTCATGAGGTAATCACCATCAAGAGAGAACAAAGGAAAGGCGATGAGCCATTAAGAAAGCAGTGGAGAGGGGGCTCTGTGCCAGATTGCAAATGGGTGGGGCTCTTAGATAGTGAGAAGGACAAAGCCTGTTTCTTAGAGAGCAGAGCTTTTTGTGGAGTGACCTAGAATAGGGAAAAGTTGCAGGCTGCAAAAGCAGAGAGAGAGAGAGTCATGGCTGATTTCTGCTTGAATCCAAGGCTGTGGCTATGGGAGAAACAAGACCCTTTTGAGGTGTTAATGTTGTGAATCTCTCCATCGTAGGCTCAGGTTGCATATATGTGTAAATAACCATATTTCATAAAGACACCACAGTCTCAGCTGTGCCTCATTTACAAAAGGAAACAGAGGCACCAGGTAAGCATCTGGAACCCCTGGAATTTCACACTGCTCGGAGATTAGGGTGGCATGCAATTTTATGTTCCATTCTTTCCTGATCCCCTTTTGTGCTACACTACCTGTCTCTCAGTCATTATGACCATTAAAGAACCATTTACACCTCTTGCAATTGTGGCATGATAAGGACTCATTGAAACAGCAATCTGAGGGGGAGGGAGATTCATTTGAAGCATTAATTGGCAAATGGGAAAGTGCACAGAAGTGTACCACATGGCTCTCTTTTAAGCTGTTAGCTGGTGGAATACTCTCATTAAAGGAACAGCGAATGGTCCTGTACACCCACCCACACCCACCCACACAGAGGCATGGCCTATGATTAAATATATCCTATCTGTGAAATGCATCATTCCTATGGGTCTAAAGGCTGCTTCTGCTCAATAGGTGTTCTGGAGTCTGAGCGTCTGAAATACGTGAACAACAATGGGACCATCTCACAGAGAATTGGGAAGGATGTTTACAATGCAGCCCCGCTCTACATCTGGTGGCAAATCCCTCAATACCTGCTCATTGGAATCAGCGAAATCTTTGCCAGCATTCCTGGTAAGCAGCACAGAAGAGTTTTCTATGGCACTAGCAAGCAAATGCCTGGAACTGCACACAAGGGAGAAAGCTGCTGGGAGGGGGTCAATGGAAGCCTTAAATACAGCTATGGTTTATGGAGCCTTGAATAATGGTTTAAAAATAGCTGGTACCTTGCTCTTCTGGTTAACCAACACTCCTTTCTCCCAGGGCTGGAGTTTGCCTACTCAGAAGCTCCCAAATCCATGCAAGGAGCTATCATGGGTCTCTTCTTCTTCATTTCCGGCGTGGGATCACTTTTAGGATCTGGCCTCCTGACATTGCTCTCTCTGCCAGCCGATGGCTGGATGCACTGCCCAGAGGATTTCGGTAAGTGATACAACGTCTGCTGCCCTTTAGCTACAAGTAGCGGGTAAAATCAGACTGTAGGGCCTCTTGACATGCCCCTCCTAGGGTCTGGGCTTTGGCCTATGTCCGAGTTATAACGGCAGGGCAGTGTAGGCAAGAAAGGAACCTGGTGTGTCTGAGAGGTTGCAAAGAAGGTATGTTGTCAGGAGGCTGCTGTAGACAGAGAATACGAGGAAAGAATTGCCTGGAGTGGTGAATGCTGCAGTCCGTGGCAATGGGACTCCCTGCTGCTGGCCTGCTTTGTGTACACTAATGGCTCTCCCTTTTTCTCCCCTAGGGAACATTAACAAATGTCGGATGGATTATTATTTCTTCCTGCTGGCCGGGATTCAGACAGTAACCTGTGTCCTCTTTATCTGGATCTCCATCCGCTATGAGCGCCTCCGCTCTGCTGGCCGCGAGGGCAACTAACATCCTCTGCCTTCTTCCACCGGGACTGCAAAGAGGCGCCAGAGTCCCCTGGATCTCAGCTTGCTGCAGAATCCCCACCACTGTAGCCTATATGGTTAACTGCTGGGATGTTGCGGAGGCCAATGGTATATAAAAGGATTAGAGAAATTAATTGGGGATAGAGCCGTCAGTGGCAGCCAGCCAAAGACGACAACCGCACGTTCAAAGTGTCATTAACGTCTTAGTTCTTGAAGCTGAGCCCGGGGAGCCCAAATTAATTATCCCGGGATATAAGCCACTGTGACTAAGTCACACGGACCCGTTCTCTGACCTGGCAAAGCTGCTCTCGCTTCTGTGAGTACTTAACATTCCTTTTGCAGCTCAGCTGTCCTTTTTGGTGGCGGGATTAAACTCAAAAATAAGAGAAGAGTTCTCTCTGTATCTCTCCTCCCTCTACCCCCTCTCCCCCCCATGTCCAAGTCAATGACAAGACCATTCTATCTTTAAGCCACTGTGCAGCCTTCTTGAAAGTCACCTCCTCAGGGAAATTATTCTCTCTGGCCAAGGGTGAGTGTAGCAAATGGAGATGTGGCTGGTGATGGGTTAAGACATCAGATATATACAGCAAAGCTTTTCACGCAACAAGATCTGGTGTGGAGGGATCCACAGTCCTCTTCTGAGAATGGACATGGCCTTTAAGGTGTGCACCATCAGTTACTGAGAGCCAGTTTTGTCACAGAGAAAACGACATCTGTTGCCCTGCTTCTGGCTTCTGTTGCATGAAAAAAAGAAAGTGGCAGGCCTGGGATTTGAAGAGCACAACAGTGTTCATGGGTTGGGCCCAGAGAAGATGGAAAGGAATGGCACTTGTGGAATGGGGACTTCCTGACTGCTCCCTCCCACCTCACGGCAGCCCTTAGACACAAACATCCAGCAATGGCGGGAGGTGGGGTATGGCAGGGACTGCAATGGGACAGCGGAATCTGACAGGGGTGTCTTGGGGAAGCTTTAAGTACTTTAAGACCTCTGTGGATCCAAGCACTTGTATTTTGAACTTACGCAATGTGAACCTATGTCACTTCATTTTACATGTGGGGAATACAGGAATAGATTTTTATTGTGGAATGGAAACATCGGTCACTTTCAATTAAAAAAACAATCACCCAATGTGTTTCTGATCCTCTGACTGAACAAACTTCACTTGCAAATGTGAGCCAGCACAAAATCTAAAATAATGTTTCGATAATTGGTTTAGTAAGCCTTCTTGTGGCCTTTTAAGTCCATCTCAGCATTCCTTTTGTAATGCAAAGAAGAGTAGAATTATCTTTGCAATGCCAACCCCAAAAGTGGTTTCTGTGTGGAAGAAGCCTGGCATAGATGTGGGTCAAAGGCGACAGGTTGTTCCTAGTGTGGCATCTTTAACTTAGCAGGGGCTTTGATCTGGACCACAGCAGCAACTGCACCCTGCTGGGCTGGATTCCGCTGCAGCTCGTGTCAGCTCAGTGTGTTGGATTTGCTCTTCAGCTGTCGTTATGAATTTTTAAAATTAAAATCAATGCCAAACTCCCTATAGAAACATTCTGTGCTTGACAAGACTCCCGTAGAATCCCAGAGAGAAGTTCCACGGGGCCTCGTCTTACTTTTCCTGGTAATATGAAATCTAATCCTAAATGATTTATGACCAGTGGGCCTGTAGCTCATCGGCATATTTGAGGAGTGACAGGAGGACGGAAGGTGGCAGTTGGAAGGGCCTCCCACAGAGACAAGTTTCAACAGCGCAGAGGAGGAGGGGGCTCCTGTCAACTCAAAATGCATGGAGGAGGGTTTTTTTGGCAGGTGTCTCCTGCAAGGATGGGAAAACGGTACTTGCTGAATTTCCTTCCATACAGGGAAAAATTGGTGGTAGGATAGCATCAGTTCTAGGTTGGGCAAGACACCCCTTCTGCATTGAGTCCAGCCCCTCATCACAGTTCTCACCAGCTGCTGCCCCTCTTCCTCTTCTGCCTCCTCCTGCTACCACCTGCTTGTTAGCTGCAGAAAGCCAATGAGCACCCAGGCAGGTGAATAAGCAAGTGGGTTGCAAAGGTGGAGAGGAGGAGGTCCTCTTGCCACGGAAGTGTGGCCCCCTGGCAGACGACTGACTGCGCCGATCCCTCAATGCCGGTCCTGCCTCCTGAGTGCCTGACCTGAATCTGGCTAGCAGGGAGTGTTGCCCATGACCAACTAAGCAAGGAAAGCACAAGCAAGCCATCAAGTCCAAAACACAGAAACCTTCGTCATTTTCAATTATCATTTATTTTTTATTAACAATGTAAGAATTAAAAATCTCCCATAAATAAAAGGACTTGCCTGGCAGCCTCCCAATACTACAGGTATAAAATATGAGCGATTGTACAAAACTGTTAAAAGACACCAGGCACACAGCTGGGGTGAAAAAGGACCGGCCGGTGCTTGCTGGAGTTCTGCCCTTGCCCGGCTTCTTTTTCTTTTTTTGGAGGTGGGGTGTGGGAGTTGCGGGGAGGGGAAGAGCCCCAGGCTCAAGACCACAGGAAGGAAGGGACACTCGCTGTTCAAACCACCACAATGGACACAAACTGGCAATGAGGGTCAAAGCAATAAGGGAGGTCTGGGGGAAGGAAGGCACCCCCACTGGCCCCCAGGATCCCCCTCCAGAACACATTGCAGTTGGCTTGCTCTGGGCAGCTGATTTCCAGCCTGCAAAGTCCTCAACCCCCCCCCCCACTCTAGTTAGAAACCTCCTGGGGTGGGAGTAGGGGAGAAGCAGCGAGGGCAACCCAGGTTCTGTCCCCGCGAGGGAGAGGTAGCTCCACTGAGGTCATAGCAGGAAGGGGAGGGCTCCAACCCAGCACATCCCTCTCCGGCATGAAAAGAGAGAGGGCTTAGTGGTGCAGCCAAGGAAGGAGATCTCTAACATAGAGAGAGCAGCCAAGTATCTCTGGCCGAGTAACCCAAGGCTGGTTTCCTGTTGTGTAGAGCCCTCTTCAGAAAGGGGGGAAAGGGGAGAACGCCCAGCTGGATGACCCTAGGAGAGCACCCGGGGGGGGGGAGCTTGCAGGTGCCAATCCCTTATTGGTTTGCCCCTATGGGTACAGGTGGGGCACGGGAGAGCCAGAGGTCAGGAGCTGCCCCGGATCCTCTCCATGTAGCTGCGCAGCTCGTCTGGGTCGTGCAGCCCCATGTCCTCACACACCCAGCGGATGTCGTCTTCGCTGGCCACCAGGATGGACTGAACGGCAGGAGCGGAAGGCGGGGGGCTGGGAGCAGAGCCAGGGGGGGACGCGAAGGTCACAAACTCCACGCGCTTCCGCCGGCCACCCACCTCCCTGCCCTCCTTCTTTCTAGACAAGGTGGTGGTGAGGGCTGGGCTCCCAGGGGCAGGCAGGCCCAGAGTGCTGGCAGAAATGCCCGTCTCTGGCCCCAGCGGTGGCAGTGGAGGCGGACCTGGGCTCTCCTGAGCCACAGCCTCCAGCTTCCCTTCTGGACCCGCACAGCAGCAGCACCCGTCGCTGGTGCCGGAAGGGCCCAGGGGTTGGTCCTGGCAGTGCTGGTGGCGCAGATCCAGCTGCCGGCTAAGCTCCTCTTGGTCAGTGCCCAGCCAGACCCAGTTGTGGGGCTGCGGGGCGGAAGAAGCCGACCCCGAACCAGCGTCAGGGGGCTCCTTGCGCTGGTAGCGGAGGACAAAGACCACACAGTTGATGAGGAAGATGAAGATGGCGAGGCAGAAAACCCCCAGCAGAACATACATGCCTATCTCCAGATCCGTCACCTTGGCAGGGGCCTTCACTATCTCGTCCTCCTCCTCCACCTCCACCTTCTCAGGGTTGTCATAGGAGCTGCCGCCAGGCTCCTCAAATTTGGTCATGGGTGGCCCCACTCCCACCGGGCTGCGCCTCCGTGACCCCCTTCCGCTTTCGGTGACGGTTGCAACCGTCACTGCTTCGCCTGACATGGCGCCTTCTGCTCGCTGGAAAGGGGGCTCGCCGTGGAGACCGGGGTCCTGCTGCTGTGGGCTGCCTGTGGTCGGGAGGTGTTGGCCAAAGTTCACTTCCAGCCACATGGTGCCCTGGGAGAGGGGGGCCCTATGCTTGCCCTTGCGGCAGGAGTCTGGGGGGTGCAGGCTCAGCTGCAGGAGGGATCCTCGGCCCGGCCCCTCCGCCACGGCCACAGGGCGAGCCTGCTCCTCATCCAGCCGCACGGAGACCACGCGAGGGTTCAGCGAAGAAAGCGAGAGCACCGCATCCCGCCAGCCATAAAGCTCTACAGGGGCCAAGGTGTGGTCAGTGAATACCAGCCAGATGGTCAGCACTGCTTCCTGCAAGGAAAGGGAACGTGGGATCAGGAGGTGGAGGAGACCACACAGATAAGACACAGCCCTGAGTTTAATATGAGGTAGGCTTGCCATATCTGGAGCAGTGCATGCTGGGACTGACCCCCTGTAACCTGGGTAATTGCCCCCTCAGGGCTGGACGTCAAAAGTCCTCAAGAGGCTGGCTTTTATATGAATTCATGCTCGCCTGATTTGTGCCTCTTTTTTTGGTGTTGCTTTGGTGTTGATTCTGATGTTTTTTATGTCATTTGTACTGAAGCTTTTTTATTTATTGAATTGCATTTTGCAAATCTGCCTGGAGGACTTTGGTTGGTTCCCCTTTTTCAGGTCCTCATTTGTGGAGGCAAGGAAACTCACAGCACAACTGTGCCAAGCCACATGTCTGTACAGGTAGATTTTGCCAGACTGGAGGAGGAGACACAAGGCTGCAGGTTTCAGTGGCAGCCATGAAATCCAGCTCCTACCTGGGTGGACCACAGCAGGATGGGGGCTTCATCTTCCATGTGCACCCTCCATCACTTCCTTGGACCAAATGGCTGATGAGCCTTAAACTTGCCACACCACCAACTCCCCAATAGGGCCCTTCCTCTGCTATCTACTGCAGCATCTTCTCACCTGCTTCAGGGAGCGCAGAGCAGAGAGTCCCTGACACGTTGCAGTGAAGACATTCAGGTGTCCTGGCTCCACGGAGAGTGTCAGCGAGAGGCCTGAGACTAGCTGGGCCTGCAGCTCTGAGATGGAGACCTTCTCCTCCGTCACCACCAGGGTCTGCTCCCCCAAGATAGAGTCAGAAACAGGAGAACGCACCTGAACCAGGGGATAGAGAGGACATGATGACCCTCAAGAGGAGACTTTTCACAGAACCAGTATCTCTATTCTTCGATATTCTTCTGAATTGCTTCAGCTTGTAAATAGATAACTAGTACCAAGCGTCCTCTGATGTGTAAGGGAAGCTGGTTTCCCACTAGTGATTGACAAATATATGTAAAAGGAAAATGCTTGTTGGCTATTAATATTTGCAAGACTGCCATATTCCCCTTTCTTTGTAGCTTCCCTGCATTCACCACTGGGGTGTTCACACATTACATTCAACAAGTGTAGAGTATGTGAACCCAAACAGTTGAGCTGCACACTTGCATAATTATTCACATGTAATATTCAGCGAGCGTACCATTTGTGTGCCTGTGTACCCAACAGCTGAGCTGTGCAAATAAATAAGTGTACACAGGTAACGGTTTCAAACAAACGCTTGTACATGTGTCAATACAGCTTGTGCTTGTACCTGTCATCCTACCCTGGGATCTTTCCCACTGTGTTCCCCACTTCAGTGTCCTGTCTTCTGACTCCCTCCTCCCACAGCAAACCATATCACCTATCCTAACTGTGTTCAGATCACATCCACCTGTTCCTAGGCGTTCACTCTTCCCATTGCTCCACCTTTTCCCCAAATACCTCTGCTATCCTGTAACATCCAAAGCACATGCCCAGACTTCTAGGCAACCCATCTGAGGTTATCATCACACATCAAGCAAGCTTCTTGCCCCACTTCATCTCAGCAGCCAACAAACAGCACCCTCGCCTCTCTTTCCCCCCTGGACTGCTCCTTACCTCCACAGATGTCATTCCTGGTTCCTGGCCAACCACTATACTTCCACCTTCCAGTGTTGCCACTCGGGGGTCCTGGATTCTAGCGTGCTTTTGCACCAGATGAGAGACATCCAGCAGCCAATCAGAGCTTGGCATATAGGTCAAGTGACGGCCACCATCTAGTGGGTGAGCCACAAAATGGGCAAGGAAACGGACTCCGGCACGCTGGTACTGGAGACGGCAGCCACGAGCTCTTCTCTCAGCTTCCTCTCCACCGTCTTCAGGCTCTGTTGGGCTGCTGCTCGGAAGAGGAGGGATAACTTGTACTCAGCATTTATAATGGCGCATTTCAAGCAATGCACTCGAGGTGCATTATCTCAGTAATCCCGACAAAAGCTTTATAAAAGAGGTTGGAATTATCCCCAAGTAAACCCTTACATGAAATTAACATCTACTCCACCTTCCTACAAGAGTACCGGGTGTTCCAAGTGTGCACAATGTAATTCCTACCATTTTTAGATTTTATTTTAGCAGTCTGTATCAACACAAGACCTCTAAGTAGTTTCCAATGAAAAATCCCAAAATATTCATTTGGAAAAAAATTGATAAAAGCAAAGATTAAAACCAAGTAAACATAACAAGTTAAAATTAAACCTGAACTTTTAAAAGGTACGTAGTAGAATTACATGCTAAAATTATATGCCTGGGTAGGGTTTCTGAAACAAATAAAGGTTTTCAGCAGGTGCTGAAATGCTACAGCAAAGGCACCTGCCCACATCAATGGGCGGGGAGTTCCAAAGATCGAGATGACATTTCCATTATAACTTGAGTCAGGTGGCCATCCTGCTGTGTAGCTTTGCACCTAGGCAAAAAAAATTATCTCCTTGCACACTCTCATGCTTCTCTTCCCTTCTCCTCCCTTACCCTTTCTCCTCTGTGTGTTATTTTAGATTGTGAGCTCTTAGGGAGAATGATGTGTAAAGCACCTAGTAGTTTGTAGGCACTATATTATACCATAATTAACATCATCATCTCTTGCTTGCTGTGCACTGGGTATTAATCAAGGCACCACCACCAGCCATGCTTTGTTTGTTCGTTGATCATTAAAGATGTTCAAGGAACTTCCAGACAATACAATATGTCTGGAGCACTATCGCCATTAATCTCTCTGCCAAAATGCAAATGGAAATAATCAATTCCCCAAGTTATTTTTCAGCGATTTAGGTATCTCCCCAGCAGCCACCTGACAGGATAACAGGAACCATTTATTAAAGAACCGTAGAGGCCAGTGCCAGAAAAGATACCCACACAGGGGAAAGCCTCCATGAAGAGAAGAATCAAAGGGGAGCAGAGCAGAGCAGTGCTCTGTCTTGCCTTAGAGGAGCCATGTATTCCCAGCATCAACCAACAGGCTGGTGTCGACAAAGACTATGGTGCATTTTGAAACCATGCTCCTAGACCATCCATGAGCAGAAACTCAGATATACAAGCTAGGTGCCAAATGGCACCTTAAACCTAGGTTACGGTTGCCACAAAGGAATGTCTATTTGCCAGGGGGTTGTACTAGATGACTCTCAGGGCCCCCTCTAACACTGCATGATCCTACTATCTCAACTACACTGCTTGACTGTAGCTTGCTCTTACAACAATTCACTTGTCTCGGTATGCAAGAAGGAGAAAAACACACAGTGGAAATGGAAAGGGTATTAACTACAGACTAAGACAGAGGTTTTTAAGCTGTGATCTGTTAGTCCATTGGGGGGGGCTGTGGAAAGGCTGAAGCACAGTCAAGTATATCTGTACTCAGCCCTGCACTTACTTTCCTTGATGTGATGATGGAGGACTAAGATGCCCAACAAGGGGGCCATGATTTGTACAGAAACACAAGACTTTGCTATGCACGTCAAGGCAGGATGGAGATGTCAGTCATCAACCCGGCGCCCAGAAATCTCCAGGTAGTTGCAACTTGATCTGCACCAGTAGCAAAACGTGGCTGGGGAATTTTGAACACTGTCCATGAATACATCATTCTGTTTTGCATTCTTTGTTCGCTTTGGCCCACATGACAACAGCTGTCTATACAGAACCACTGGGCTTGCATGGAGGAATGAGAAGTCACCCACCCTACAAGTATCAAAGCTCTGGCCGTTGACTAAATCAGGGAAGGGGATCCTTTGACACCCGCCTGCCAAGATGTTGCTGGATTGCAACTTCCACCACCCCTCACCACAGGGCATGGTGGCTGGGGCTGATGGGAGTTGGGAGTCCAACAACAGCTGGAAGGCCACAGCTTCCCCATCCCCGCTCTAAACACTCCCTTGAGATTATCCCTCATATCTTCCCTCTCCTCTTGCTTAAGCACAGAGAGCACACAGACCTCACTCTGTGGCATAAACACAGGGCTCAGTCAACCCAACTTGGTTCCATAGCACTTACCCATCTGGGGCCGGACCAGGTACCCTCCAGCCTCGCACCTGCTCTAGAGAGGTGTCTGTCAGCTCAATGCGCAGGGGCAGCAGTGGGGCCCAGACAGTAAAGAGCAGTGAAGCGTGCAGCCGACGGTACCAGAAATCCACCCGTACGCCACGTGCACCTCGGCTCTCTTTCCCCCCTACGTAGACAGCATCACACACGTCGGATACCTGAGGGAAAATTGAGGAACACATCAAGAAGGTCCACAAATGCAGAGACAAGCACCCAAGAATATGCTGGAAGACCGCATAAGGGTGCAGAGCAGGTGAGAAGAAAGATGTTCAGGTCCCATTTCTGATTATGGAACTGGCCATAGGCCTGTTATATGCTTCCTCTTCCCTCCCCCTGATGTGCAGTTCATTCAGCGACTGTAGCCAGGAAGTCTTATGGGGCTTCTTGTAGCCTACTGAAGAAGGCAGATCTGGCAGGGGCCCAAGATTTGTTGTAGGGGAAAGAGGAGAGTGGGGGGTTTGAGGGGGGCAGGGAGAGGTACATTTGTCTTTCCTGTGGCCCAACATTTTTCACAGTCACTTTAGCCCAACCCATGAAAAGACAGAGGAAGAGGACAGAGTTAGCTCAAGACCTGTCATGGAGGCAACTAGAAGGCTGAGGCCTACATTAAAGAATGGGACAAATCCATGGTTTGCCAAGTCTGAAGCTGGGAGGCAGGAGGAAGGATACTGTGTAAGAACAGATGAAACAAAGAGGAGGCTTGCAAGGAGTATAGGAAGACAGGTGCATAACAGCACTGCATGTATAAGGTGGACAGATAAAAACACCAGACTTACACAAAATGGGCGTCTGGTCATTTTGGGGGCTACGGAGACTTGTCCCAGAGATATGGACAAAGAATGAAGCCTGGAGTTAAGACCCCTAGGAAGCGGATTTTAATCCTGTGGCCACAGAGAGGGAAACAGACCCTTTGTGAGGCATATTAGCTTCTCACCTGCAGGACCTGCTTGTTGGAAGACTCACAGCCCATCTGGTCCATGACCTCTGATACTGCTCCCCCAGTCTCTACCACAACCAGCTTCACAGGCACTGAGTGGGGGATTCCTGTGAGGAGGGCAGTGTTCACAATCTCCTGCTCCTGAAGAGGGTCAAGGAAAAACAAAGTGAGGAACCATTGTTAGATGCCCCTCAGGGGTACCTTATGAGGAGGGGAAGCACAGCCCTTCTAGGCCTCACCTTCACCAGTGGAACCAAGGCCCGCACATCTCGCTCCGACACTTGGATCTCCCACACCATCTTGTCTTTCTCAGCCTCGGGGTCCTGGCCAGGATACTCCACTTGCCAGGTGACAGGACGGTTAGAAGCTAGGCCCCCTGTGCCATTCTCCACGACAAAATCCAGATACAGGAACTCTGGGGAATCTGCTGCCCTAGATGGAGATAAGGATAGGCAACAACACACTAAGTGTAAAGCAGAAGTAAACACAGAGCCCAAGAGAAGCTGAGTAGATCATAGAAATTCACTGTGCCTGTTCAACTTAGATCAGTGATGGAGGCCTTTCGAGATTGTCCTGCTACTATCAGAAGCACAGTTGGAAGAAGCAGGGGTGGTGGGCACTCTCTTCTGTGGAGCCCAGGAGGTGGAGCACTTTGCCCTGGGCCCCCTCAGTTTTGGTTTTCTGTCATGACCTGAAAGGTTTTTATTCCAGGAGGCATTTGGCTTAACCTCTGGAACAATGCTGAGATTTATACTGTCTCTTAATGCGTATGTGACTTGTTCTCAATTTTTGTTCATTACAGAGTGGAAAGGTTGGATAGGAAGAAAAACACCCAATACTTTTTCAAATAATTTCCTGAATTTCTATTTAACTGGCTGACCAAGCTTACAGGGGGACAAACAGTTAAGTTTCACACATCACCAGACCCAGTCTTTTATTCAGGCTGCAGCGGAGAATGAGGAGGAGACACTATAATCAAATATTGCTTAGAGACAGTCTGGACCAATGAAAGTTGCGCCAGTCACCTAGTTGACATTCCTTTATAGAGGATAAGGAGAGGGTTTGGTGTGTTTTTCTGTCTCAATGTTCTCTTATCTCCTTACTTTCTTCACAGAGAGAGGTGAAGGGTGAGCCTCTCAAAACAAGACTGACTATCTACATTACTGTAGCTGAACAGTATAGCTCTCCCTCAAGAATCCCTTGTATAGTCTTTGTGTTCAGCAGACAAAACAATTCCACTGAAAGAGATATAGTAAGGGCTGTGAGTATATTGCAATTCCACAAGAACTTCAAAAAACAAACACCACAGAAGTGATACTGGGTACAGATTCCTATTTCCTGAAAATCTCAGCTTTCATTTGAAATAAACAAAAAGTTTCTAGCCCTCATGACGCCAAGAGAAGTCCAATGAGCACCTACCTCCAGTCCAAGCCACTAGTAAGGGAACGCCGACAAGTGACCAGAGCGGTGTGGTGTTTGGCACCCTTGAACTTGTCCAGCTTTGCAGTCCAAGCCTCTGGCCTGGTAGGGCGAGCTGCCAAAACCTGTAACCCTTTCTTCACCTTGATCCTGAAAGGAAAAGCAGCAAAGTGAGGTGAGTAGACAGGAAAAAGCCAGCAAAACAGTTTCACAGCAGCTCTGGCGATAGGCTAAGGAATAATGAGGGCCAGGCCCCAGAGGAATGAGCACCCCAAGGCTTGAACTGCCTATAATTGAGGGAAGACAGCACCCAAGAGATAGTGTAACATAGTGGCTAACAGAATGAGCTGTGGATCAGGAAGTCCCCAGTTTGATTCTTGCCTCTGTCATGAAGTGACCTTAGATAAAGCGTATTGAGGGATAAGAATACTGATGCACAAGTTTTTTTGTAAGGATCACAACTAAATAAAACATGCAAAGCGCTTGAACACTTGAAAGTGCTCTCTGGTTGTTAAGAATTAACATAACCGCAGTTGACTCGAAAGCTCCCCCTAAGAATTCAGATTCCTTTGTCATTCACTGGAATGAGAACGTTATGGCCGGAATCCCAAAGCCTGGCTCCCCTGACTCACCGGAGAATCAGTAGGTCAGCCGTGAAGTTCTGCTGCAGGATGAGGGTGGCCGTGAAGAGCTGCCCCGGGCGAAGGGCCATGTCGGGGACGCGGACCATCACGTTGTCGTCCAGCCGCACTTCCTGGCGCCGCGGCAGGCTCATCACCCTGATATCAACCGGGCCCACGTAGTGCAGTCGCTCCTTGCCGCCCTCAGCGCCCGGACGTGGCCTTTCCCGGGGTCGGACGTGGGGGCACTCTCTCGGCGTCCTTCCGGGCAGCGTGGGCTCCAGGGTGTAGTACAGCTCAGCCCGCAGAGGAGTGATGGTGGAATCCTCTCCCTTCCTTTGGCTGCTGGCGGGTGCAGGAGAGAACCAGCGAGGGGGGAGCTCGAGTTCCACCACACACACACCCAGCGGTGCCTGGTCAGGAGAAGCAGAGAGAGACAAACCATGTGCTCCTTTTAAGTCCCTCCTCATGGTATGTGAACCCATGCAGCAGCCTTACACCAAGTCAGGCCGTTGGTCTGTCTAGTCCAGTATGGCCTGCTCTGATTGAGTCTCAAGGATCTCAGGAAAGGTCTCTCTCAGACTAGCTCTCTGGGATGCTTATAATTGGAGATGCCAGAAATGAGCCTTATGGGCATGCAGCAACAGCTCCACCATTGAGCTATAGTCCCTTACTTTGGGAGTCCAAGAAAGCTACTCTCACCTCACCTTACTCTACAACTAGGGTCAGCCCAATACACTTTGATGACTGAAGCAGACCAAGAAATGTCGCGCGGCAGCTGCTCTTTCTCCCCGCCCCTCCTCCCAACCTGCCTTAAGTGGCAACTGCCACTCTTTTCCTCTCAACCAGCCTTGGTAGGGCAGCTATCCCACCTCACTTTGAAAGACACATTGAGTGACTGACCAAGAGGGCCTCAGAGGTCCCACTTTTTGCCACTGTGGTGCAAGGGCTGTGGTGCAATCTCTTTCTGGGCCTATCTCATGCCATAATACCTCACTCTGATGAAAGGGGATTGGGGGCAGGGTAGCTGCAGGAATATAGCTGCTGTCCACTTTGGTCCAGTGACCAGAAATTAGCTTTTGTTTTGTTCTTGTGCCACTTAGTTAGGTAATGGTCAGTGATGGTGGCTCTGTGGCCTTGGCTGACACACACAGGGCCCAAATTTGCCAGAGGGTGGGTAGGTGACAGCGGGGTGGTGGGTGGGACTGTGGGAGGACAGCCATGGGGGACTGGGCGGTGAGAAGCACCATCTGCTGCCCTGAGCATTCTGCCACCTGAGTTAAGAGGCTCACCTTGGTTCATGGAAGGGCCCATCCTGCTTGTCACCATATTCCATTTCCACTAGTTCTTGCTCATCATCTATCTCTCTCCTTCTGTCCCTGTCTTTTCTGTCTCACCTAGCCCACACATCTTCTGGTGGGGATTTGAAGCCAGAGCAGTCAGTAAAGCAGGACCAGCATGCAGCAGGAAGCCCACGTCAAGGCAGAACTTCGCAGACTCACTCTGACATTACCAGGCCACCAGCTCAAAAAAAGGCAGATCTGACAGTTACCACATGCTTGGCCTCAGGGTGCAGAGGGAGCTCTCTGCTGAGCTTGGCCACCACTCAACCAGTTGCCATCGGTAACTGACAGGGGGCTCGGGGAATAAAGCTAATGGGCTACTACAGGGAAGGCCAAGTTGAACTGCTGACATTTTGCAGCCCTTTACAAGTTGGATGTTAAACCTCCCAGGCTTCAGCAAGAGCAACGGAATGGCTTGAAGAATCACTGACTTGCGCACAAATGCCTCTCCCATGTTAACAGATTGAACTATCCCCCACCACCTAGAGAATGCACGGAAGAACAGAATATGCACCCTCCCTTCTCCGTATGAGCACCCTGAGGGCAGCTTCACACATTACAGAAAGTCCTGGTAAGTAGAGCTGTGAGTCACATTTGATTTCTGCACTTCCAGGAAACCTGCAAAAGTAGAATCCCTGCATTTCTCAATGTGTGAAGCTGCAGTGAAGCGTCCTCAGTACGGAAGCCAACACCTGCCTAGGGTAATTCCAGTGCTTTATCATTTCGGTTTTCTTCCCAGCAAAGTACTAAACATTTTCACATGTGTTCTGAATGAACATTGGAGAGCTTGTTAAATGTTGCTTTCTTTTAATGAGTGGTATGAGTGTGTAATTAAAAACAACAACCAGTTATTTTAAAAGCAGAAATGTTCCCCACACAGAGATATTTAGAAAAGAGCCCGTTCATATTTTTTTTTGGGGGGGGAAAGGTTTTTCCAGTTTTGGAAACAGTTTCATATTATCCAACATGCAATGGAAATAACAATGCTATAGAAAAAAAGGCACCCGTTGTATAAATTTAATGTTCTGTGTAAGAGGGGATTTTTCTCACCTCTGGAGAACTATAATGACAAGCTTCCTCTCCTGAAATTCCCTCTCCTTTGCGAACATTACAAGTGCGTGAGCCCTAATGTCATAGAATCACAGAACTGTAGAGTTGGGAGGGACTACATGGGGCTTGAACCCACAACAATGAGATTAAGGGTCTCATGCTATCCATCTCTGCTCTAGAATCACAGTGCTGGAAGGAGTCTCATGAGTCCTGCCACCTGGAACACCAGGGATTTGTAGACTTAAACCATAACAGATGGATGTTTGTCCATTCTCTTCTTAATAATTAAAAAAAAAAAATCCAAGGAAGGGGATTCATATGACATCCCTGGCCAGCTTTGACATTCCACTTTCTAGTTTGTTGATAGATGCTTACAAAAGAATCCTTACAGTGAATCATACCAGAGCTTATTCTGTGGGCCTGAGTCAGCCTGGTGCCCTCCAGATGTTTGGGACTACAACTCCCATCAGCCCCTGTGAGGAGAGAGTGCTGGCAAGAATTGCAGTCCCAAACATGGGGAGAGCACCAGGCTGGTGAAGACTATCCTATGACATTTCAGGGTCATGTACCAAATCTGTCCCAAGTAAGGCAGTTGGCAGGGACGACGACGACTACCCAAAAGAGTGGCATCTCATTGACCAACCTGGAGGTGGCAGGCACGATGAACCACTTGGGCCTGGTGGAAGACATGTAAGGTGACGCATGGCAGGGCCTGCTGTCTTGACATCCAGTCCTGCCCTTGGAGGTGGAAGAGCACCCTGGTGTATGGCTCGTAAGGGGACACTGTGCCCTCAATGGACACAGCCCGGATGTCCCAGGCTGTGGAGACGTCTGTGGATTGAGAGTCATCAGCTGGTATTGCCTGGGGAAGAGAGAAAGTCTTGAGCTCTGCTGAAGCACCTCACAGCAGGAATCAAGAAAGGAAAGGGAGTCCCCTTGTACAGCTGCATGTGACTATTTACCTGCTGAGCTGTGAAAGGGGGGTAGCCAGCTTGGATGGTGGGCTTCCCTGACAGTCGACGGTGGAGGAAGAGGAAGGTCTCTGAGCGGGAGCTGAGGGAGGCATTTCCTGGCATGTAGCGGTCCGTACGCTGAAGACGGAAGTAGTCTGGGCCATTTAGCACTTTTAGTTCGGCTGGAAGGTACACCGCATCAGGAGACTCAGATTCACAGTCCACTGCAAAGAGGAGAACCACGTCCATCAACACCAGCCTTTCAACCTCTCCCCATACCCCAGTCCAGATATACAAGTGCTGTTCCACAAAACCCTGACTAGCGATAGGAAAGGCTGAAATAAAGGCAGTGAATACTTGCCAGAGTTCAGGTGTCCCACCTTCCATGTGTTCAAATGGGTGCAGGGAGCATGGGGTCATACAGACTAGTCATAATCCCCACAGACACGTGCAGCAGTCATGGCCCCTGGTGTCTGCATGTCTGGCCAGTGTGCGAAGGGGCTCCATGCGCAGACCCAGCTCCTTGATGCAATGGAGGACTCTGGCGCCCAATCAGGATGCTCCCCTCACATGGGGGCGTCCTAGACATGTTCACCAGTCAGTAAATCCCCTTCACACGCTGGCTGAATGCATGGACAGATGTGTGGCTGCTGCATGCATCAGCAACACCAGCCCTCACATGCTATTTCAATGCATGGGTGGGGCATTGGGAACCTTTAATCTTGTTTGAACCAGGAATCAAAGTCAAACCTCATGTGTTCCAGCCTCAGGCCTAGGATTCAAGAGCCAGAAGCACTCTGACTTCCTCTGGCCCTCCTTACCCTACTAAACCGAAATCAAGGTGTGGAAAAAGGAAAAGCAGTGACAATTCTTCACATAAATTTCACGCACATGCTGTTGCAGTACTCATACACATTCTGGAAAGCAAAAACACCACTTCTAATTTCTCTCTCGGGAAGGTATTTCAGGAAGTTTCTCATCTCTCTCCAATTGATGTTCTAATAACTGTGGAGCCCTGATACCCACTCCTATTACAGAGTCAGACTATAGATTTGGCCCCCAGGACAGCGTCTCTGATTCATGGTTGATCTTGTATTGTCTTGTTTTTTATGATGATGATTTCTTTCCCTCCTTAGAAACTCAATGTTCAGCTGTCTATGCAGCTGCCAAATGAGCACAGAGCAATGTGTGTAAAAAACTAAACCAAAGCAAGAAAACCCAAACAGTTATTTGCATATCCCTGTATATTTTAGGATTCAGAGTTTAGCATTTAGCTATCCCATCTGTTTAGTATAAGTGTGGTAGATATGCCACTAAGGGGGAAAAGGGCACAGTTGTCCATATACAAAACTAGAGAAAAATAACAAGGAGAGCCACCCAAACCTTGCATTCATTTCTAGCTAAATAGTTACAGGAATTGGGGCCTATCAGAATAACTCAATTTAGCTACAGTATATTGAGCCTGATCGATAATAGGTGGTCTGTCTGTAGAAGCTTAAAGAATGGGCTGCATGTGGTACACCACAAAAATGGCCGCATGAAAAGGCACACCACCAAAATTGACAAGCAGTTCTTGCTTTTGAATTGGGGTTATGGGCACATGACCTTGGTTAAAGATTCTGAGCAGCGCTCATCATTTATTTGGTGGGGGTGAACCTAAATCCACTACCAGTACGTTTCCGAGCACAATTCTAGTTGTTGGTGCTGACCTTTAAAGGCAGTGAATAGGCAGCCTCGGTCCAGTATATCTGAAGGAGCATCTGCACCCCCATTGTTCTGCCCAGACACTGAGGTCCAGCTCTGAGGGCCTTCTGGCAGTTCCCTCACTGCGAGAAGCGAAGTTACAGGGAACCAGGCAGAGGGCCTTCTTGGTAGTGGCACCCACCCTGTGGAACACCTTCCCACCAGATTTCAAAGAGAACAACAACTATCAGACTTTTAGAAGACATCTGAAGGCAGCCCTGTTTAGGGAAGCTTTCAATGTTTGATGCATTACTGTATTTTAATATTTTGTTGGAAGCCACCCAGAGTGGCTGGGGAAGCCCAGCCAGATGGGCGGGGTATAAATAAATAAATTGTTGTTGTTGTTGTTATTTGGCCTGTCTTGAACAGCTGATTGGCGTTAACCGTGCTGTGGGTGTGATTTGGAAGCAATGTTAGTAAGAGGGACCTGCAGCAAACATGTCAGTGCACAATGCTCCTGTTCAGAGTTCCAACCAAACAATCATGCACTCTACCAGGATACTCCATTCCATTTCCTCTCTCCTGACCCCATTTTCAGCCTTTTCACTCTCAATAGTCAGTCCACATTCCATGCCCACTGAACACACTCAGTCCTCTATGGGCTGTTTTGAGATTCCCCTCCCCCTACAAATAAGATGCGTACTTCTGGAAATCTTGGGGTCTGCCCAAGCCTGCTGATATCTTCCCCATGTACGGATTGTACTATTTTGGCTACATAACAATCCATACTCACTCACTATTAATATATAGGCCACATCACCTTTTAGCTTCAAATCAGTTATTTGAAAAACGGGACCTATAATTGGTAATCTAATAAACTCTAACACAAGGACAATGCCACCAATTTTTTTAAACTGCTCAATAAGCATAACATTTCAAGCTTCTAAAAGATTAAATATGCAGGATTTTTTTTTAATGGTCTGGAAAAGGAGATTAAATTATGCCACATTCACGGAGAATTTTCCAGCTCTCTTTGAAAATCCCACAAAGGTAGCATGGAAATGCATGCAACCAGAAAATGCATGAATGGCAGTGTGAGATGCATGACATTTGGCAGTTAGATATGAGCCAACCTAGTTCTGTTTATGGGATCAGACAGATTCCTAGCCCAAGGCAGTGCTACTCCACCTCCTGCCAAGGTCCATCTCAGGATGTCTTCATGCTTGAATGGCAGCTAAGACACAGAAATCCTACCGTGTGTGTGTGTGGTTTTAAAAAAACAAAAACAAACCATATTTCTGAATGAATCCGAGAGCCTTTCATTCCAATTTACCACTGCAAACTCAAGCTGAGCTGATTTGGGCATCTCACTGATTTGGAAAAAATCAAGCTCTATGATTTTGTAAACTGCACTTCATGGTACATTATGCCTAAGAGGCCTGAGGAGGTAGAGCAGAGTATATGAGATGATAGGAAAAGTAAAGATTAGGTCATTATTCAGGATTACGGACGCCTTAACTGTCTGTATTTTCAATTCTTGCAGACACTTTGTACCATGCTTTGGAGAGACCTAAGGAACAGATCCTAATTTCACTTTCCTCTGGCTTCTTACTACTGGTTCTCATCAATCTATTAGCTTCCCACACACCCTGTGGATTCGATTTCAAGCTCATTCAGGGGCAGAATTACATGTTACGTGTGGACCCATGATTCTTTTTAGTGGCACTTCCTTCCTCTTCTGTACACTGCAGCCGACAAAGCTGAGATTTGAAGGAGAGCATTGGCACAGAGGGTGAGAGGGGCTTCATAAACCCTTTCCCTTGCGCTGCTTCCCTGCCAAAAATACCCTAGACACAAAAAACTTATCAAGGAAAAAATGTGCATACACCTCTCCTTTCTTCAGCTGAGGTAAGAGCAGTTGGGGAGGTAAATTTTCAGAAGTAGCACAACTCATTCATTCATTCATTCATTATTATTATTATTGTTTTCAATCTTACGCATTTCAATAATTTTACAATCATTTTAACATTTCAAAACTCGACTTCCTTCCCCCTCTTTCTGTGGTTCCTTAAATTTATTTTTTATATTTTCTGCATATTCCAAATTCGCTTAATTGACTCATTTATACATCTACTTTAAATAAGTGTGCATGGAGTTCCTGGGCTGCCTGGACAACAGGACTCCCCTCTCACAGGAATAGATATTTACTAAAATGGAATCGTGCCAGGGCTCTTTCAACTAAAGACTTTCTCTCCCAATGCAGCAGTACATCAGTTTGCAGACTATTGCCCCCAGTCTTACCTGGGGCACGGTAGACATAAGCGTACTGCAAAACGAGAGCATCGAGTTTACATCTTTTTAATTTCTTCGGTGTGTTAGTAATCCTAGGGCAGCACTCACCTGGGAGATCTCCTGCACAAGCGCCGCTGAGATGAATGGAAGCTGTGCAGGAGCCCTGCCGCACTCTTGTGTAGCTAGCCCCTGTTGTTTTCAGTGGAGCCTGAACAAGAGATCTCCCGTGGTGGATTGTGCCATGAGCAAATTTAAAATCCTTAGTTGTCTTAATGTCAGGCTGTTATCTGAAACCGTAGCTGCCTTTTGGGGAAGAGAAAATGCTCTCGTTATGAAGGATTTTAAACCAAGGCATTTAAAAGAATCCAGAAGCACAAGACAAATACGGAATAAATGGAATTGTAGAAGGAAAATGACATCCTTTTTAAAGACACATCCAATTATTAGGAGTACCTAGAGCTGGCAATTCTGCTTTTGTGTTCATGAAAAGCCTGGGGAGATTTTGTTTGTGTGTGTGTTAAAAAGTCTAAGGTGTTTGCATTTCTGCTTGTTTCCCATTAGAAATGCAAACCTCATCTTTCTCTGAATTCTCTGGACACCCAGAGAGCGGTACAAACCCATCATCAGATGAGAAAATGGAATGAAAAAGCTCAAGTAGCTGAGAGAGAAAGGGATTTCAAGTCAGATCATTTAACTCTTTGAACCACACATCGTAGTTGTCCATCGCCAAAGAACTGAGTGACAGTCAGAAAAAGAATATTTTTTTAACAAGCCTCATCTTTTAATCTTCTCTCCCTGGAATTAATAAACCATGATCAGGTCAAACATCAGTTGGGTGGGGTGGGTGAATATATCAACTACACCAGTGTCAGAAAGAATCCCCCCCTTTCTTTCTTTATGAAGAGTAGTACTCAGAAGGTGGCCAAAGACCAGCATTAATTAAGCAGGGGAAAGCAGGGATTAGGGAGAGCAGATACACATCTTTTTAAGGGACGTTCTTTATTTCCACACAAAAGCTCTGTCAAACACAATGGATGCCCCTTATTTCAAAAGCTCCAGAGAATGGACACCACAATTTTGCTCTGCCCTTTATTTTTAATTTTTGCGATTTGATAGAAGAACGGAACAAAGCTTAGGCATTCTTATAATCAAGTTTGTGCATTCTTACATCACATCTGTTTGGTGGGTTTCAATAAAAAGAGGGGGGGAAACAATATGCTGGTCAAAATTGGCTAACGAGGGGTCATTTTAAGGCAGGTGTGGAACCCACCAGAATAAAACCAGTAAAGAGCTCCTTTGGCACCCATTGTACCTAATGAAACTTCTGATCTGTCCGCTAATATGCTTTGTTCAGTTTTGTTAACATTTCTATCTACACCCCAGTTCCACCTGGGATTTGAGGTTTTCCAAAGCAGCCATTTTAATGCTGTAGGATGTGTGAGGGAGGGATTGTTGTTCTGTTTTGGTGAATGTTGTTTTTCTTCCCCTAGCAATTATTTTGTGTATGGGGGGAAATATTCAAATAGATTTTGGGGTTTAGCTTTAATTTGGGATTTCTCCAGCTCCCAAACAATGTTAAAAATGATAATGATGCTGCTCTTAATTAACTGAAACCTAATTAGAGGCTCCGCTGAATTATCTATCTGGGAAAAAAAGGCACCATGATCCTAGCTTTAAAGGAACCTGAGGGGGAGGGGGCACGTGTGGTGTGTAGTAGCAGGCTGCCCCATTGAGAGGACAGTTGTAGCGGTCCATCGGAGGGGGGGAGGCGGTCATGGAAATGGCATTCAGCACATCACTCGGGATGAATCTTTTGAAGGCTGCTGCCTTGAGGTTTCGCTGTTTTTCAGCTGCCCTTCAAAAACAAGAATGACATCTCTAGCTGTAAAGACAGCCTTCCAGCTGCAACCTCAGCAAGATACAGAGGTGCCCACTTGTGTCCGAGGGGTTAGGTCAAGCACTGTTGCTGCTACAGCCACTGGGGCAGCGGATGGTTGCCAAGGCTATTAGTATCCCTTTAAAACTGGGCCAATGAAGGGTTGTTATTTTTTTTAGCAGGCAGCAAGTCCACCATCCCCTCCCCTCCAATTGTGAAATGCCAATCATCCAAACGCCATATTCTAGCATGCGGGGGTGGGGTGGTGCTCTCTCAAAATGACGCTGTTCATTTCCCCAACACTAGAATATTCCTGTCCCACCATTCCTCCAGTGTATCTATTCTGGCCATACATAGAAAGAATCATAGAACTGTAGAGTTGGAAGGGACCACAAGGGTCATCTAGTCCAACCCCTTGAAACGCAGGAATATTTTGCCCATCATGGGGCTTGAACCCACAACCCTGAGATTAAGGGTCTCGTGCTCTGCTGGCTGCGATATCCCAGTAGGACAGATATAGATAGATAGATAAATAGATAGATAGATAGATAGATAGATAGATAGATATAGATAGGGTCTTTATGTACGCATTTTCAATAGATTCTGGCCACAGTTCTGTAAAATGGGTTCACAGATAATGCCCTGTCCAAATGATGCACAGTAGGTGAGCTCCTTCTGGCTGGGTGGAGGTTTGAACCCAGGTTTCCCTGATTCAAATCCAACCCATTAACACTGTTCTGGCTCGGTCCCCCAATGCCAGAAGCTAATGTACAGCCAATTTTTCGGAGGGCACCACATGCAAAGAAACTGCACACAAAGGGCGTATAAGAAGAGGGCAGTTTGGGGGGACTAAACGCATCTTCCCAGTGTCCCTGATCTTGCAAGTGCCATAGAGTCCAACCCTGCTCCCCTACCCATCTGCACTGCAGACAAGAGCAGAGAGATCAGAACTATCTATTTCTCCCATCTTTCTCTGATATTATCTGCACATTTCCTTTTGTGCTTGTGCTTATCACATGTTTTGTAGGGTTGGGTAGCGTATAATATCAATATGAGTTGTCACATCCCTGTTTTTTTACAAGGATTCCACTCAATTCTTCTGGGTTAAAGTGAAAGCACCAAAGCAGGATGTGGTCCTGGCACAGCTGTGTCCATGGACATTTTAACACTGCACCTTTTTTCCCCCCTCCCGCGTGCATCTAGAAATAAGGGTACAGCACAAAACCAAACACCTTTTGTTCGTGACAAGGTCAAAGGAGATTCTGAATGAACATCAGGAAGAACTTTCTGAAAGTAAGAGCTGTTTGACAGTGGAACGGACTTCTTCGGAAGGTGGTAGACTCTCCTTCCTTGGAGGTTTTTAAACAGAGGTTGGATGGCCACCTGCCATGGATGCTTTAGCTGAGATTTAGCTGCATTGCAGGGGGTTGGACTAGATGACACTCAGGGTCCCTTCCAACTCTCCCATGCTATGAGCTCAGAGTGTCACATGGGTGCTGCCCTGGAGGACAAGGACCAAGCCATAGGCAGGGGTGGGCTTGCATGCACTGAATGAAGAAAAAGCCCCCCACTCCCCCGTGCTACACACATTCATGCTCTGCTAGAGTTGGCCAAGTGACGTTGGGTGAGAATCGTAGAATGACAGAACTGGAAGGGACCTCAGAGGTCATGTTAGTCCAACCCCTGCTCAAGGCAGCACCAACAATACAGGGTGCAATGACATCATCCCTGACAGATTGCTATCAAGTCTGCTTAAATGTGGGAGAGCACCACCTCCCAATGCAGCCTGTCCCACTTTTGAACATCTTGTACATTTCTCCTAATGTTTAACCCAAATCTTCTTCCCTACCATTTCTGTCCGCTGGTTTTAGAGCTGCCCTCTGCAGCAGCAGCAGAAAAAAAGTCTGCTCCACCTTCCACATGGCAGATATTCAGAGTGCACTATCCTGTATCCCTTTAATCTTGATGCTGTCCTGGGCTCCTTTGGGAGAAAGGGCAGGATATCAATTTAATACATAAATGAACCTTCTCTTCTTCAGGCTAAATAGGAGAGTCAGCATCAATCAGATTCTAGGCATCAGTGGAGTAACCAAACCAAAGATACTGGCTGTGATTCAGGGAAAGCAGTAAGACTTCAAAAAGACTAAAAAGCCAAATCCCTAGATGGGAGCTGGCAAGTAATTCCCCACCCAAATCCTCTTGCTCTGCATATGCCATCCCAGCTCAGGGAATTAGGAACGCCCCAACCAAAATATTACAGTCTGCCATCCAGCACTACAAAGAAAATGGAAATGCAGGCACAAAAAGGGCACACACAAAAAGAAATCTTCAGAGGAGATCAGATTCCCTTAAGCAAGCAAATAAAAGACATGAAGGGACCAAGAAAGTAATAGAGAAAGTCAGAGACTGCAAAAAATAATAATCTGGAGATAAGGGTGAATTACAAAAGAAAGTTTATTTTAGGCTTTCTTGGACATTTACCACAAAAGTGTGTGTGTGTGTGTGTGTGTGTGCGTGCGTGCGTGCGTGCGTGCGTGCTTTAAAGGAAAACTTACACTCCCCTCTTTTTCCACAGATAGTTTTTTTATAAAAAAAAACCATATTTTTTGAAAACCAAAAAATTTAAACCTACTCCTGAGAGCATGTACAACTTTTTACAATTGTTGAGCAAGGATACCCTTCACTCAGACTTGGAACAGCACATTTTAATTTAGTGACAGTCATGTAGAAGTTACAAAAATTTCTTTTTGACCAAAGAAAATCATATATCCCACAAACCGACAGTGCAATCCTGTCCTCCTCATCTTATGTTTGCCAGACAAGGACAATATCTTGACTATATTGCACTGATCTTGTTGTTTAGTCGCTTAGTCGTGCCCGACTCTTCGTGATTTAGCGGCCATTAATAGTGGGGATGTAGAAGTGCTCTGCCCAACAGTAAGGGTCTTGTGGCACCTTAAAGACTAACTAATTTTATTATGGCATACGTCATTTTCAAACGGCTAATCCTTTAAGGTGCCACAAAACGCTTTTGGTTGTCTTTGCTGTGACCTACTAACAATACAGCTGCCCCTCTGGAAACTGCCTAACAATGAAGCTGACACACAGACGGAGCTGTGCATCCCTGGCCATAATGCAACCTCCATAAACCTGAGCAGTTCTGCTCTCCCCACTCAATCCTCTGTATGCGGAGCATTAATGATCTTGAGCCCTGCGGGGATCCCCTTATCGCACCTCCCACAGGCCCTGGGTCGGGTCACAGACTTTCCCCTGAGGAAGCAGCAGATGGCTGGGAGATACCGTGACATCACCCCCTGCCCCTCTAGGTTGCAGAAGGAGAAAGGAAACAAGTGGCCTCTTTACAAATTTAGCTTCTTCTTCCCTTAGGGTGAGACCTCTTGTCACCTCTGCTCCCCCTCTCTGCTAATCACCATTTCTTCCATCAATTTCCCCCTCGTCAGCTTGACAACATGATCCAGATATATAACCTGTCCTCTTCATTCTTGGATTGATTGAGTTTTCCCCCTTTCCTTCCATACAAACCTCAATGGGTGGGTGGGTGCTACACCCTTCAAGGTCCAACTATCTATCTATCTATCTATCTAATCTCCCTGTGTTTCTCTCCCTCTCTCTTTTGACCATCAGGGCCCTCTTCCTTTGATATGCCATCTTGTACACCAGTTTTTCTCCAGGGATGCTCCCATTTAAAGCACCCACCAGTTCTGCAATCACTTCAAAAGCAGCGGCTGCGAACAATAAATGAATCCACCACAGCTTTGAGATATTGCAGGCAATAACCATTTCCTGGTAGCTTCACAGGCTCCCCTTGAATGAACAGGACCAAGGGGAGGATTTATTCGTCACTTTTTAAATGGTTCCGATGATGACTGATGCTCAGAAACATCCTTTGCTCCAAGGAGACTAAATGAGCTTTCTGTCAAGAATTCAACACAGGAACAATCTGATCAAAACAATGTTGGGCGCCTCTTCTTTGGCCAAAACCATCAAAGATACGTTGTGGAGGATATCATGCGTGCAGCCAAAAGCCATCTGCGTTAAGGGATCGACTTAGGTCGTATTCCTTCGTCAATGGCTGTGCATATGGCTCTGGAGGCAGTTTTTAAATCAGCCAGGCACACAGTTGTGCAGTTAACATTAGTAAAGGGGCAGAAGCATTGCTTGGCACCCTCTGCTTAATAGGAATTTATACTAGAGCTGGGAGAATTGGTGCTATAATCTCAACAATTGTGCTTAAAAGAGGAAATGATGGGAGGAAATGCTCGCTCTTCAGCACAGCTGAAAAGTGCTGCTACTCACTACAGTGGTATGTGGTCATCTATAAGCCTTGATACGAGATTCTAAACCAACGCAAGACTAGTGGCACATTCTGACTACAACAAATTGCCTGTGGAAAAATGACTGTAGAACATCAAAGTCAGAGAACAGTAACAGTCTCAGAGCAGGCGCAAATAAATCAGCATAAGGACCCATATTGGGAGAAAAGCTTCTTCAGAAGGCTGAAGTGAGGACTGGGGAATAGGGTGGAGCATTTGAGGGGAGAGGTTCAGCCAGAACAGGTAGAATTCTGCTCTCTCTTTCTCCACACAATATACAATTTCATCAGCTTCAGCTTCCCAAGGGAAGACCTATCAGCTCTAAGGCTTGAATCATTTGCAAGTAGCCTACCCATCTTGCAGGCTTGGAGGGTGAGGGGAGATACACTGTGGGGAATAATCATGTCTTGCTGGGGAAAAAAGGGGTGGGGGTTACCAAAAGCTAATTGAATTACAGCAGCAACTGAAGAGTCATTTGCATTTCAAGATAAGTCCTAGAGAAATCTGCTTCTTTCCTTAACCCCACCCCCCCTTCAGCAGCAGGTAGAGGAAAGACGCATAAAAGATGCGATAGCAACTGCAAAGCACATAGAGGGGGTCCTATGGGGTGCAGAGTGGGGGCCCAGAGCTGGCTCGGTTCCGAAGCTACCTTGGGGGAAACTTCTGTTTTGAAAGCCGGCATGTAAATCGGTAAACAAATAAACGAAAACGCGAGGTGGAGGGGGTCGAAAGGATGCTCCACTTCAACCTGATTGTCAGTACGGGGAGATCGAGTGGGGTGGGGGCATTGCTGGCCCGGGAAACAACTGGAGGGGCACCTCCTTGGGGATCAGGGAGCAGCGCTCAAGGGTCCGGAGAGGGGGAGCAGGGGGAGAAGAGCCCATTGGCTCCCCACGCACACAAACCCCGCAGACGCGCAGAGGTGTTCAGCTGTTTCCATGGAGATCCGAAGTGAAGGCAGTATAGTTTTTCAAAAGCCGCTTTTTAAAAGAGGGTCCCTACCAACCAGGGGGAAAGGACGGCATCGGTTTCTGACGGGGGAGGGCGGTCCATCGCTTTAGGAACATGCGAGACCCCCACATCCAAGTCGTGATCGCACCCCCATTTCCCAGCCAGGGGCAAAAAAACGCAGCTAGATCGGCGAGGGTGCTCCAGCCCCAGCCAGGACTCACCTCCGGGGGCGCGCAGGTGGAGCAGCGCGACGGCCAGCAGGAGCCAGCGGGCAGCTGCACGAGGGGACTCCATTCTCCAGGAGCCGATCCGTTCCCAACTCCGGCTCAGATCCCCACTCCCGGCGCTGTGGAGCGCATGTTCTCTCTCACACACACACAGACACACACACACGCACGGCAGCCCGGCTCCGCTGCGGCGCCAAACTCCAGGTGCGAGCGGGCAGTCAGCGCCGCCAGCCGTGCGCGCTCGCCGGTGCGCTGCGCAAGCCGCGCATCCCTGCCCGGGCCGCCGCCGCCGCCGCCGCCGGGCTGCTCAGCCTCAGACAATAGAGGCAGGCAGGCAGGCAGGCAGGGGGAGGGGGAGGGGACCGGAGCACATGGGATCAGCGCCTTCCCGCTGCGCCGCTGGGTCCTAAAGCGCCTCTGAGAGCCCCCTCGATGACGGGCGACCCAGTGCCCCACTAGCCGCGCCGCCCCGGGCCGGCGGGAGAGGCGCCAAGCCAGCTCCGAACAAGGCGGGGAAAAGGGGCGCGGCGGCGGCGGGAGAGGGCGAGCCGCTGAGCGGATCTGGGAGGCCGAGGGCAACGAGAGTGGCATGGTCAAAACGCGAAGGGGAGGAGGAAATCCAAGAAAGTGGATTCCCGCGAAAGAGCAGGGAGAAGGAAAGGGCGATCGCGGAGGGGACTCTTCCAGGCGGCTGTTTTATTCGAGCGCGTTTCATTATGCAATACAGAACTGTTCGCACACTTCACTTCTGCTGCTGTTTCCAGTGGTTTCCAACTTTCACCCTTTCTGACAAGAAAGCGGCCACGCGGATGATGTCTTGAGATGATGAGAAATTCACCGTAGTTTTCCTGAAGGTATCCTGGGAAAATAAAATAAATAATAAATAATTTTTATTATTTATACCCCGCCCATCTGACTGAGTTGCAAAAGAAAAATAAGGTGCTATTTCAATATTAATATTTTTTAAAAAACCACAAAAAGCGACTGGATACTAATAAATACTTCACATTGGTTAAGTTTCCTTAATGCCATCTGCCCCTCCAATGTGGTTAATTTTGAGGCCTGAAGTAAATTTAACAGTTGATATAGGGTGGATTTCCAAGCTTTGTTCTTTTGAACAAAGCCTTATAGAGGCATGCAAATGGTGTGTCCCCCCCCCCTTTAAATTTTAATTTTGCAGCTGACATTATTTCCTATTCACATTAGTTTACAACATTTGGATTAGCTGTACAGGGAAATGGCCTGGAGAAGTAGGATTCAGGCAGCACACAAGGGACCTTTTAAATTCAAGACTTCATGCAATCCTAAGAAACAGAAAGAACTCTTGTCAGGTTTGATCAAGCCCTCATTTACAGATTTTGACAGCCTGTCAAACAACAGATAAGAATCTATCTAAAATAATTCCCCAGTTCACATTAGTCTGACTATATGGAACCACCACTGTTGAACACATGAGTAAAAAACCAACAGTCTGAACCCACTGAAGTTAGGTGTAGTTTCAGCCAGCTAATCGAATGCCAATTCAAAAGGACTGTTGTTGTTTAGTCATTTAGTCGTGTCGGACTCTTCATGACCCCATGGACCAGAGCATGCCAGACACTCCTGTCTTCCGCTGCCTCTCAAAAGGACTAGCTTGCTTCAACTAAAAGATCAACAGATCCCTCCTCCTTTCTACTGGCTGAATCTTCCACAGGATCTCACTTCTGCCCATGGACAGATGGAGTTATTGCATTCAAGGAAGCCTAGTTAGCCTAGTTAACACTTGATCCTCTTCCCCAGTATGCTGAAATCCACACACACACCACATGAAATCAGTGGAACTTAACATTTGACCAAATGTGCATAGGATTGCTCTGCACAATTTCCTTTTTGCAGAAGGGAAAGTGAGGCTGACACTCAGCTGCAGTATATGATTTGAGGTAAAATAAGGGCTCAGGATTTTGTTTTCAAAACCACTGCTGAGTCCTGGAGCAGGCAAAGCAACAATGGAGAAAATACCTCTGAGCGTTTGCAGAATGCATCTCTCTCACCACTAAGTAACCTCTGCCATTTAGGATTAAGGAGTTTAGAATTAAGGAACAGGATTTCCAGAGTTGCTGAGATGGCTCCTGGGCAGACTTTATCACCATTCCATTTAGTCTGAAAATCAGAAAGCCTTGGAGATAATATTTTCTCCAAGGCCATCAAGTGAGTTCTGTGGCGTGTAAGTTGAGACCTGAATGTCTTTCAGAAGTCAGGCATGCACCAAAATGTGAGAGTCCTTCTGTTCATATTACCAGCCAGCCAGGCTCTTTGCCAGGAAACACTATTGCATTCCATCTCAATAGGTTTCTGTAAAGTGGCTTTTGTTTTTTGTACTTATGCAAACCTCAGAGTCCCCCTGAACTTGCTAATGCCTTCCTTTTATGAGTGGGTTGTGCCATTTTGGCTAACTAAAGATAGGCAGTCCGAGAAGGCATTTAGGATGCCTTCATTTGCTCTGGTAATGCTGGCTCACATACCTCTACTAGTCCTTATAAACAAAAATGGAATCTCCTTACTCAGAGGCAGTAGACCTCACATCCCCACCTGCAGGGAAGAAACAGAGAGGTATGGCTGCCCCCAAAATGGCCTACTTCTGAGTTTCCTTGGGGCAAGAGATTGGCCACTGCTGGAACCAGAGTACTACTAGCCACAACTGCTGTGCTTCACCTCCACTGCCAGAGGCGGTGTGCTTCTGAATACCCATTGCTGGAAACTGCAGGAAGGAAGAGTGCTATTGCACTCAGGATGCTGCTTGTGGGTTTTGGCCACAGTGAGAACAGAATGCTGGACTAGGCAGGCCATGTTTTTATATAGTATGCAGCCCCAAATGTAGTTCGCTTTGTAGAATTGTGTTGGTTACCTCAGGGGATGCTCTAGCACAAATGCACATCAAATCACAGTGCAGAAGCACTTGGCTAGCCAATTTAAACCCAGTGGTTAAGAAGGCAACCTGTTCTGTTGTTTAAATATATATATATAATTGCAAAGAAATGCAGTAAGAATAAGACAGACTTATTCATAGTAAGCAAATAGAATGTAAAATAGAGACGTCTGTACAGCAAGACAGATAGGGAAACAAATCAGTCTCTTAATATTAGATGCGAATCAGGCAAATGTTTATTCACTTGGGTAACTGCCAGACTAAGAAGATGAAAAGCCAGGAGTGGGGTAGGAGATTTGCATTAAAAGGAGAATTTCCACCAGTTGCAGCTTCACCTAGTGTTCACACTGCCACAGTTACAAAAGCAGTGCCGTGTTATCCTGTTAGTGTTGCACGAAAACATGTAAGAGAACAGAATATTGGTACTGTTAGATTTCTGTTGGGGAGAACACCGAATTGAGTCTTTTATATTTTCCAACTTCCTATAACCTCTTTTATAGGATGGGGTTGAGCAGAAGTGGGTTTCCTTCTCAAAAGAAAGGCATCCTGATTCAATACATTCAATACATGCTCAGGGACCCTGTGCCCTCAAATCCTGTTTTTGGAAAATATAAACCTTTGTTGTCAAGACAACGACACTCAAAAGCTGATTCTCTGTGACACACACACTATGCAAGATGCCAGGTTTAAAAAATCACATCAAAAGTTAGAAACCTGGAGTGAGATGGAAGACTGTATGAACCAAAAGCCACAGAGGAGCTTTTAATGGATTTCAGCATTTAGAGAGTTGAAGAGGGTATTTCCTTTGTTGAAGAGCAGCGGAGGGGTCGTGTTGTGGCTTGTCATGAACACTGAGGTTCCCTAACACCTCCCTGTGGTATTATCATCACCTCTGGGCTTTCATACCCAAGTGACAAGTTCCAGCTCGCCTGCCCCCAAGAAAATGAGTGAATGTATTTCTGGGCCCAGCAAGAAGAATTACCGGCACAATTACATTGCTGTTAGAAAAGTGCCCCATCCTTTCAGCCTAGAGAAAGGCACTGACTAATATATTTGGGTGGTGGTGGGGCCCTCCCCACCCTCTTTCACTTCCTGCATTCAAAACGGAAATCCAGATTGCAGAAATGACATCATGGCTGCCATTTTGTGGCTGTTGCTGCTGCTCTGGTGTACACCACTACCAGCACTGGGTGTTGAGGACTGAGGGAAGTGAGAAGTTCACAATGCAAGATAACTTTAAATCCCAGTTCACAAAATGCAGGCCGAGTGCGAATGGCACCTGCATTCCGGCGACATGCGTCAAACACGCCGCTATGTTAAATGTGGGGTTCCATTTAACGTGCCTGTATTTTGAAAGGAAGGAAGAAGAAAGTTGCTGGGGGGGGGGAATCAGGATCCGATTGCAGGAGCTTCATTCCTGAAGCAAATACGCCAAATCCTTGAAAATGTGCAATTATTTTTGAGCCCACAATTTCTAGGCAGGCTTCTGTTCAAATTTCTAGACTGGTAAATGAATTCCAACCTCTTATGTGGCAAATAAATGTTTTCTATTTTGCAATAAGCTGTCATTTGCATATCAAGTCGCACAGAGAGGTGGCAGCGTGCAGCTGTTGCTTGTTGGAACTCGCCTGTCTGATCACCGGCTACCGCACTGCAAGTTATTCACTCATTTAATGAACACGGTTGCTGTATCGCGGCCTCACAAATCCAGGCAGCCTCATTTACATAGGATGTGATTTATTCATGATGAATAGCAACCTTATGGATGTGCACAGTGCACATGCTAAATTAGCATACTTTACTCATGCTATTTCCAGCAGATGGTTTCTCTCTGTACCAGCTGCAAACAAGGAGGAGTGAAGGCACATTCAGTTGAAGGACTTATCTGACCATTTCTCAGTGTCAGGGGAGATAAAAAGCCCCGAGAGGAAGCACAGAAATGCCTGTCCACAGGATTACCTCTTTTACCCGCTCTGTCATTACGTCTCCGTCTGTTAAAACACTGGCAACCTTATTCTCACTGTTAAAATGCAGAAGATCCCCATTATAGATAGAGGCTCAGTGCTGATTTAGCATGCTTCAGCTCATTGACTTTACAAGGTTGAATTGACACCATTACATATTGTACAAACTGGAATATACAAGTAGAGCTTGCAACAAAATGTTACAGCACGGATGCTTCTGTTACAGATACAGTGGTACCTTGGGATACAGACGCTTCAGGTTACAGACTCCACTAACCCAGAAATAGTACCTCGAGTTAAGAACTTTGCTTCAGGATGAGAACAGAAATCATGCAGCAGCGGCGCGGGACACCCCATTAGCTAAAGTGGTGCTTCAGGTTAAGAACAGTTTCAGGTTAAGAATGGACCTCCAGAATGAATTAAGTTCTTACCTTGGTTTATGAACTTAATCCGTTCTGGAAGTCCATTCTTAAACCAAAACCGTTCTTAAATCGAGGTGCGCTTTCCCTAATGTGGTCTCCCGCCGCTGGTGCCCTTCCACCATTCAGCTTCCATTCTTAGACAGAGGTAAAGTTCTCAA